CTTGATTTCTACCATAAAAAAAATACACTTGGTGTTGTGTGTTTCAGTTTCTACAAAGGACTGTGTGCATTACGGTGGTTGATTTTATTAGATTAGTTGGGATAATATCTTCCTCCTCTGCCTCTTTCAGAGTTGGGTTCCACTTCAGTATCATTCCTCAGAAAGTGATTTTTCGGCCAAATATTTACGAAGGATGGTGGGACAAGAAAGTTCTCCTATACAGTTTACAATGAGCCCGTATGTTATTTATTCCCCAATACTACCTTTTCCCCCATTCTTTAAAAGCTTTTGAAATTCAAATTATAATGGTTAAATTTTTATTTTTATTTGAAGGTATGACTATGTTAACTCCTTGTGTCCTAGAACGTGCAAAGGTTCTTCAAGAAGGTGCGGTCATTTTCATATTATTGAGTTCGTCAATTTCCTTTCTCTTTAACATCGTGCAAAGTGTAATATGCTGAGTTCCTTTCATTAAGTTGTACTTTTGAAAGCATCATCTTAAATTTTCAAAGAGGTAAGCGGAGTATCAATTTTGCCCTTTTTTTAATAGTTTTGCAAAAAGTTGAAACTGAAGGGGTCTTTTAATCTTGCATGAAAACAGAGGATGTGTATTTGAAATTTTGAAGATGAGTCTTACAATATAGACACAAAATACAGAACGAGAAGCAACCAAGACATTGTCATATAAAATTATTGGTTGACCTCTCATTCCCCTTGTGAAGTGCTTCATTTATTGGTTATCTTAATCCTGTTGGCCGGCTAGATAAACGATAAGAGAAATATATACTATATGGTGATTGCTCTTGTTTTTGCCTGTTTGTCATTTTGGTGGACAAGCAAAGTTTTTTGTTCACCTGGTTTTGTGTACATTTATGCATATTTATTTATTTACTTGTTAAGGACATAGCTTTTGAATGAAAACATTAGCACTTTTTTTTAACCTTATTTTGATTTTGATTTAAATATGTGAATGAATGTCGTTTTAGGTTTTTACTTTCCCTGCCTCTGGAAGAGCGTATCAAGAAGTTGCTTGTTGAGGTTGGTTGCAACTTACTTAAGCCACATATTAGTGTTTTGATAATATTATAGTAATAAATTTGAAGCTGGTGCGTACCTTTCTTGTCTGACCTCATATTAGCATTGTGCCTTCCATCATATGGAACTGGGGCTAATTTTCCATCATTGTCTTTATTTTTGAAAAATCCTTAAAGTCATGGCAGTGGATTCATAACCTTCAGAAGCACACTCTCTTATGGCTGTTCTTGAGCAATCCATTAATTCAAGATTGTGCCATAACAGGAACCTGTAGCTCGTCGGTTCAGTGATCTTAAGAAGTACTTCGCTCCTGATCACACTGGGGAAGAACTTCTGGATGTTCTTCAGAAGCATGCTCAATTACTGCTGGACTCTGGTCTCTGGGTTCCAAAAACATTATTGCTATATCCATCCAAAGATATGAAAGATAGAGATCATGTCACTCGGCAGACAGCTAGAAATTACATCCTAAATTTATTTAGGAAGAACACTGTAATCAGTAATTCACAGTTGAACCTCCCACAAAACCATAAAAATCACGCGTATGAATCCCTGAAAATTTTAGCTGTCTCAAGACCTTCCTCTCAAGATTGGAAATTAAAAGAGCAGTCAGATAAGTCTTTTAAAGAACTCTACCCAGACATCTTTAAAAGCCAAGAACAGAACTGGGAAAGAATGGAAGAAAAGTTGGCGAATGCCTTTAAAGCTCATACTGACCGTGGTGTGAAGAACACTTGTATGACTAGTAAGCCTGGCAAGTCACTGAATTCTGATAAAGGTACGACAAAAAGTGCAAGTGATGTACAGATTGGGGGAAGAACCATGTCAGATGAAACTCGAGCAGCTTTACCAGAGGCTATAAAGGAAGTTCTTCAAGAACACAAAGTTTGCAAGTAGGTGATTTGAGCTGTAACCTCTGCACATTTCACAATTCGTGAAGCTGCATTCATGCATCAAAAAGTTTCTGATAGATTTTCTGTAGTAGACATTGAACTGGAATTATAATTGCTAGCATTAGGTAGTTCTGCTAGTTCCAACTTTTATTTTATTTTATGAAAAGCCAGGTGTTTTAGAAAAAGAGAGAGAATTAGTTAACTCTTGACAGCAGTGTAAAATTTTCTAATTCTTATGCCACCTCGTTACTTCTATTGTCTCTTGTTATTTCTTAGTTAAAATTTTGAATTTAATTTTTTGGTTATGAATGTCATGTCTACCAAATTTTAGGTCATTGTTAGCATTGGCAATTACTTTATCAAGTTACTTCAAAATTTCATGTAAAATGTGTAAGGAAACATTAATTAGTACAGTTATGGGTATCAGATTTAATTCATTAACATGCATGATGAACAAAAATACTAATACTAGCATTCATATTTTAGTTTGGAATTTTTATCCTGTTAGAACGGCTATTAATGTTGCTCTATTATTAAGGTTATAACTATAAAACGGTAGTTTCATAGTATACTTAATTAAATTATCTTTTGAAAAGGTTTCTGCTGTCCTACACCTTATTCTCAATATGATGGTGCAATCATGAAGTTGTCAGAACTGATGGAAGTATCTGCCTCAATCTTGTAGTTTTGACTTGCAATTTTTTTTGCAGCTTTCGGCTCATATGTGAAGGATTACGGCGGTTGGCAGTCAGAAAATCTTCTCTTCCAAAGGTTGATCCTAAAACTAAAAGGGTGATTGATGCAGCATATGGTGTTGATGCTCCTCAACATGAGTTGCATAAAGTGATATGTCAAGTTGCAGCAGACATACATGGGTTATATGTCTTGAAATCATCGCCAGAGCACTCAGAGCATGACAGATTGAGGTTGTTCCCATTTTCATCTATTTATTGACAAAGTGCCTAAAACATATGATGTTGTGTACCTTGGTGTGGGGATGATATATTAACAGAAGAGGTTATAAGAATCACTTGTTTTCTTACCAGAAACTATGATGATGTTGTGGTGTGTGTTCCACGGTGATTTCTGAATGAGCGAGATTCCATCAGTTGCAAGTATTGTTAAGTAATAAGTTATATTCTTATTTTACTTTGTATTTGTGTTTGTTCTTGCAGGAAAGTTGTTATTGATCTACTATGCACAAAAGGACCTAATGCGAAGCTTAAAAGGGGTGAGGTTTTTGAAGCTGCCAAGATTGCTCTTCAGAGGGACATCAACACTAACGAATACAACAAGGTTAGTTGTTTCTTATGTTTGTGATCTAAAGGAGGTTTACGTTGGTTGTCAGGCGACCTAACATAAATTTTCTCCTTTTTCCTTTATTTTGACTGTTTGTCACAACAATTTTAAAAAAAATAAGTGAGAAGACCCTAGGCTCTAGAAACCCCTAAAGAAACCATAGGTGTCGTCTTCTTGTTGCCCAATGTTTTCAACTATGTTGTTGAACCCAATTATATGGTTCTTGTACATCAGCAGTCAGAAAAACACGTTGATTCTTCTGGAACCACGTTACTAGCAGTTGATAAAATCCCTTGCTTTTCTGTTGCACTTGCACCTCGGCATGGAATTGCACGTTGCGTCTCATTTAACCTCATCTGTACTGAAGGATAGGGATGAGGGCTCAGTTAGTGGCAATGAAAACCAAATCTTAGAATCACGGTTTAATTAAGTTTTATACTCCTTGTTTTTACGTGTTTACATAACAGTCTAGGAGGGGTCTCAGCCCTTGTGTGTAGCAGTGTAAATACTTTATCAGCGATGACTGCTTTTGCATGTTAACCAGAAGTATGATTCTTCCATAATAATATCTCATTAGAAGTTGCTTACTTGTGCAGGTCATGAATGATTTTTGCGTGTTCAAGGGTTCTGCTTGGATCTTAAAAAGCGGTGACGGAGGTCCGAACTAATTTTGGAAACCTGATGATGGATTTATGACAAAATTTTAACTGGTGGTTCAAGGAATAGAGAGCTTCCAAATTCATTTTTTCTTTCTTTTTCAGGAAGTACATCGTTGTGCTATGTTAGTAATATTTTTTTTGGATTGCCATGGCCATGGCGGCCAAAGCCAAAACAAGAAAAAGAACGATACACGGCAACCTGTACAATGATAGTTTTATGCAGGCGCATTTTCAACATGGTGTTATCTTTGTTTCCTCTATAACAAGCTATACGAGATTTATCGTTATTAACCAAACTTAAAACACATTCATATGCATTGGGACTCCCATGGAAATTTGATGAAAACTTGGTAATTTTATTATGAAATCTTTTGGATGAATAGTTGAAAAGAATTCTATTGTTGGGGTATTTCGTTGTGTGGTTAATGGTCTAAACCACAGTGGTTTTAGATCTCAATTAAGAAATATGTTGGTGATATTTTGCAAAGTTTAAGATTATTTGACAATTTAAACTTTGGTCGTATTACATTTGCTATATCACACATTATTAGATATTGATCTTCAATAAAATTTTGATAAGGCATTGTGCTACACCAACTCTTAATTTAGTGACATTTCTTTTCGTGAGATCATCAAAATTCTAATATTCTTATACACTTCGATATTTGGTATAAATTATAGCACAAATTATCTCCGTTTCTATTCGGACTAAAAGAAGTAATCGGGAGATTAGGTTAAGAACAAGACTTAAATAAGGATACCTCTTCTTCTAGTGTTATTTTTAAAAGTCAACATTTTTCTAATGTTATCTAATAAGAGGTTTCAAGTTCAATTTCTAAGTTTTGGTAAAATCTCATCATAATATTACTGGCTGCAGCTTGTAGTAAAAAGTTCAAGAAAAAAACACATTTATACCGCCTAAGGTAAATCTTTTCCACTCAACTTCGTGCTCTCTATAAAGTGGAAAAATCCCAATTATCGAGCCCTAGATTTCTCACCGCTCAGAGTCGGTCTAGTCTTCTAATATCGCAGACAATTTTCCCGAGAAACAAACGCCAAGTAAGACTGTGATAGAGAGCAACTCCGAGAAAGTCCGGGATAACTGAAACCTAAGATGTCGGACTACGAAGGAAGGTACGAAGGGAACGGAGAGGACGCTGACAACTATGGCGATGGGGGTTCCTCTCCCCAACCTCGTGCTACCAACCATGGCGGTCCCGACGATTACAGCGATTCCAAATCTCAGGTACACCAAGAGTTGCAAAACCATGCGATTACTGACTTATTATTTTCTTCTGATTACATAAAATCAAGATCGCTGCGATGGGGCTCCGTTTATGAGGGTGTTTTAGGGTTTATGTTGGGTTAGCTGGACTGGTTAGGGTTCTTTGCGTAAATTTAATGGTGTTGGTTGTGTGTGTGTGTGTGTGTGTGATCTGCTCGTTTTCTGCTATGAATCTGGGGCTTTTAGTTTTTCATTTTTTTATATTTTATGGAAATACTCCTTTGGATAGTGAATATTGGGGTTTTCTAGGATTACGCATGATAGTGTATTACGTTGTATCTTAGATATCCAATCTTAGAAAAGCCTGTTGATATTTACTAGCACTTGAACTTCCGGTTTATTTTTTGGAATAGACTCCTTAACTTACTTCTGATAAAATATATATTTCAATATCTTTCTGAAAATGGTGTATATTAGCTTCATCTCATCAGTTATTTTAAGGTACAGTGATCTGATGGTCTCTTTTGCAGCATGGCTCTCGTGACTATGAGAGAGAATCTTCAAAGAGTAGAGAAAAGGAAAGAGAAAAGGGGCGTGATAAGGAGAAGGACAGGGACAGAGATCGGGAGAGGGAGAGGGACAGAGATAGAGATAGGGGGAGAAGCAAGGACAAAGATAGGGAAAGGGACAGGGACAGAGATAGGAATAGGGATAGGGACCGAGATAGAGAAAGAGAAAGGTCTCGAGATAGGGATCGTGATCGTCATCATAGGGACCGCCACAGGGATCGTGAGAGAAGTGAGCGGAGGAGAGATAAGGACGATGATGATGATGATCACTACCGTGTCCGGGACTCTGATAGGTATGAAATTTTTTTTAGCTACTTATTTACTTGTAAAATGAATGTTCTGTTGTGTACTGTCAACTGAGTTCGATGCAATTTGGAATTTTTTATATTGATAGTAACTAGTGCGTTAATTAATCAGGGGAAGCTTCTCGTTTTATTAAATTTCTTTATTCTAGAAACAAATCCTATGAATTATTGCGGTCTTATTTCTATTTCTATTATTATTATTATTATTATTTATGAATTGATTTTACAGGCGGAGGGATAATGACAGAGACAGGGAGGATAGGCATAAGCGCAAGTCTCGGTCTCGTTCAAGAGGTAGATCTGAGCACAAATCCAGATCGAGGTCACGTTCTCGTTCACGCTCAAAAAGGTAGTTATTTGAGAGATTAGTATGTGAATGTGGATAAAAAAATGCGTTTGAATCACTTTAAGGGTTCCTAACTCCTGTAGCAAATCCTTATTTGGAATAAACACTTGGTTGACATGAGTTATTTTCATTCAATTTTTTTGCTTTACTCAGGTTTCTTTATCGACCAAATTATTGTTAGTCATTTTTGTTTGCTTGTCCTCTTTATTCATACTATTTGACTATGTAGGATCTAGCTGCATGGATTTAATTATGAAAAGAAACTTTGATGGTGTACATAAATATCTATTATCCGTAGTGATTTAAATTTGTAGGTCAGGATCAAATTTGTACAAATAGTTTTTGGCATAATTTTTAAATATTGTGCTCCTTGGGGTATGTTTTGATTAGTGTTATCTTTCCAGATGTATGGGGTTTTCAAAATTTGTTCTGTATGTGTTGTGGTTTATCATTTATGTACTAAATCTTTCATATATTCGTTTCCCTTCTCTATGAGTTCTGTATATATTATCCAGATGTGTGGTCTGCAGAAACCATTTTATGTAGTGAAGTAGCGAACTATCAAGTTATATGAGTTATGTATTAGAGATTTCTTGTATTAGTTTCATGTAGTTTATGTCTGGGATAAGATGGAAAATTTGGCAGATTTTATTTTTCCATCTTATTTGTTTCCCTTTTCTTTTAGTTCTGTATGTATTATCCAGATGTATGGTCTACATAAACCATTTTATGCAGTGAAGTAGAGAACTATCAAGTTATATGAATTCTGTAGTAGAGATTTCTTGTATTAGTTTCATGTAGTTTATGTCTGGGATAAGATGGAAAATTTTGCAGGTTTTATTTTTCTCTTTGGTTGCAATCATTACCTTTTTTAAGTAATTCACAGAATGTAGGTTTTAGTCTCCGGGTTTTAAGTTGTCACTTGTATATTATATTTGTTCTTGGTATCCTGACATTAACTCTTGCAGCAAAAGGATTAGCGGTTTTGACATGGCGCCTCCTGCTTCTGCAATGTTAGCTGGTGCTGCCGTTGCTGCAGCAGGTAGATTTTCACTCCTAGACGTAGGATTGTTATATTTTGTTGACTGCCTTTTGTCTTTGTTGGACTAGTGTGGAAAGTTCGTATCCAATGATGGTGTTACTTTGGTAAGCTATATTTTGTTCCTTCACTTGTGCATATAGCCTTTATAAATCTGCGGTCTGTGGACGGGTTATGATTTTTTATTGTTTACTTGGTGAAATAATTCTGGGACTGAGAGATCTTTCTGGTTTTTTCTTGTGTTTGGTGTTTTTGTTTGTTTGTTTCTATGTCTTGTCCTTTGTTGTAAGAAGGCAATGTTGGGCTACTTGCCCCACTGTGATGACAATGGGTGTGAGCCGACTTCTGTAGCTTTTATGTACAAGGAGGAATCAATGCACCGGTTTGATGGATCTTGTTCGTCTTCAACCGGCAACTTTTGCCTTTTTTTGGTAGTCTTACAAATATTTCCTCCAGAACTTGTAAATGATGTATTTCTTTCATCTCCTTTTGATAGACTATATAAAATTGAAGGTTAGGATATCCTATCTAATGAATTTTCATGGAAAATTAAGTGGCAGAGGAGTCATTTGGTATTTTCATTCAATTAGTCCTAGAAGTTAAATTTGATCTGATGACTGAAATGCAATCTAATTTTTTTTGCAGGGCAAATTCCTGGGACTAGTCCGACCATTCCTGGGATGTTCCCAAACATGTTCCCTTTAGCGACTGGCCAGGTATCTCTCTCTCTCTTCTCTCTTGCTCGCTTTCTTTCGCCGCCTTCATCCTCCCTCCCCTTGTCCCTCCCACCATCCCTCCTAACATATTGTGACCCACACATGTTAGCATGCTTGATCTTCACTAATATTATGTCTTTTTGTGTGCTTGCAGCAGTTTGGATCCCTCCCGGTTATGCCTGTACAGGCAATGACTCAACAGGTTGGCATGATTGATATATTTTTTTTCTTCGATGCATTCCTACATCCCATGCTCCCCTATATGTAGCATGTGCTGACATTAATTGTTCTTTATTTATAATCAGGCTACCAGGCATGCCCGACGGGTGTACGTTGGAGGGCTTCCTCCTACAGCAAATGAACAGGTTTACGCACTTTTTTTAACCTTTTATTATTTGTGCTCTTCTACTTATGGTTAGTAAAGTTACATTGTTATATTCTTTGACATTGTTCAGATAAATATCTATTTTTCTTCAATGAATACTACCATGAATTTTGTTTTTGTTAAATTAGTCATGCTACAAAAAGAATAAAGAAATATGGTTTTACTCCAAATATGCAATGTGTCTTAATGTGCCATCATCTGCAGTCGGTTGCTACATTTTTCAGCCAAGTTATGGCTGCAATTGGAGGGAATACAGCTGCCCCAGGTATACTGATGTTTGCACTCAAATCTGTACATAATCAAGTGTGCTTGCCTAAAGATGATTACCTAATTGTTTTCCTATTTGTTTCATGCAGGAGATGCTGTTGTCAATGTTTACATTAACCACGAAAAGAAATTCGCTTTTGTTGAGATGAGATCGGTTGAAGAGGCCAGCAATGCAATGGCTCTGGATGGAATTATTTTTGAGGTATTCTAAACTTCCTTGTGTGTAGATCAGTATAGGATTGTCATTTGTCCCACGTTGACATTTTGTAAAGCAGATTGCATGGTATTGACACTTTGTGAAGCATATTGCATGGTATTGACTTTCCCCCTTCTTTATTTGGGTAATTAATACAGGGAGCCCCTGTAAAGGTGAGGAGACCTAGTGACTACAACCCATCTCTTGCTGCAACACTTGGTCCAAGCCAGCCAAGTCCCAATCTGAACCTGGCTGCTGTTGGGCTTACACCGGGTTCTGCTGGTGGGCTTGAGGGTCCTGACCGCATATTTGTGGGTGGGCTACCTTATTACTTCACAGAAGCACAGATCAAGGAGTTGCTGGAATCCTTTGGACCCCTTCGTGGTTTTGATTTAGTGAAAGACAGGGAAACAGGAAACTCAAAAGGCTACGCGTTTTGTGTTTATCAAGATCTTTCAGTTACAGACATAGCTTGTGCAGCACTTAACGGTATTAAAATGGGTGACAAGACCCTCACAGTTAGGCGTGCTAATCAAGGTGCCAACCAGCCCAAACCAGAGCAAGAGAGTGTTTTGTTGCATGCACAGCAGCAAATTGCATTGCAGGTAAGAGTTAAATTGGTTTTTCCTTTAGAAAATTGTGTTATGGACAGGTCACTCCTGCTGGAGGAGTCCGTAGTCTGCAGTTACAGATATTTTGGTGAAAAGGTGTTTTTTTTTTTGGTTGAAAAAATGATGTTTACTTTAGAATTGTCCATGTTAACCTAGTAAATAATGCATAAATTATACATATAGTTGTAGACTTTATAAAATAGTGTATCCCTGATAAATATATGATGTAGTTTGAAAACACTCTTTTTCATAATATATCTGTATATTTCATATTATCCTTGGTACTGAATTTTTGATCTTTTCGTTTTTGGGTGAGAATATTTTATGTAATGTGGGATATATTTGCTAACATGCAGTGTTTAAATGAATGTGCTTATATACTTTCCTCAATAATACTTTCATCTTCTTAATATTGATTCTGATCTGAACTCTACTTTAGTTTGGGTTTAACATCTTGAGGTGTTTGTTTCATTTGCAGAGGTTCATGTTGTTGCAACCACCTAGTTCTGTTGCCACCAAGGTTGTATGTTTAACTCAAGTAGTAACTGCAGATGAGCTTAGGGATGATGATGAGTATGAAGATATTTTGGAAGACATGAGGCTGGAAGGCGGAAAGTTTGGTAAATTACCATCACTCTAGTGTTAATTTCACGATTTCTTTTGTTTCTTTTAATTATCCTACAAAGTTTATTGTGGTATTGATTTTCTTTTTCTTTTTTTTTGTCGCCATCTTTCTGTTTTACAGCCTTTTTTGTAGTCACACATTCTGCTATAAAGATTCAGGCCTAACATTCAGACAGAAGCCTCCCTAACCTTCTAACTGAATTCACCTAAGATTTGTTTTGTTGTCTATTTCTAAGATCTATTTGTTTTTCACTGATCTGCAGGACCGTTAGTGAATGTCATCATCCCACGTCCAAGACCAGATGTTGAACTGTCACCCGGAGTTGGGAAGGTTGGTCTGAATTCTAGTCATTAATACATTTAAGTTTGAAAAATCTGATTGACAGGATAATGTCTTCTACTTGCTAAACAATCTTCAATTTACAGGTGTTTTTAGAGTATGCAGATGTTGACGGTTCTACGAAAGCCCGCACTGGGTTGAATGGCAGGAAGTTTGGTGGTAATCAGGTGGTAGCAGTGTTTTACCCGGAAGACAAGTTTGCCCAGGGCGATTACGAGGGCTAGTTGTTTGTCCAAATATACATATTAACTGAATTGTCAAGATTTCTTAATTAGAACTTTTGAGTTTGCTATTTCCGTAATGTTCCACATTTAGTGGTATCTTGTAGCCTAGTATGTAACTAGGATGATTGTTCCTTTTTTAATTTCTTTTTTTGGTTGAAAATTACAATTGTGCACTTTTCCAGTTAGTGCGAGAAGTGAAAATATGAACTTAAATATGGGTTATGGTCTTTCTGTGGTTGAATACATTTTAGCTTTTCATAAGCATAGCAATGTATTTTTCATTTTTGGCATAAACTAAACACTTTTGACTCATTTCTCAACCAAAAAAATATCACCTTGAGCCATTTCCTTTTTGGCCTCATCCCAAACCTTGTGCTAACTCACCAAGAACTAGTTGGTGAGCTAAACATATCAAATTGAGCTTGAGGCTTGATTGGGAATTATTATTATGTGACTATAACACAACGTGATAAACAAGTGATAAGCTGATTTAATTTACAAGTTTATTCGAGTTACGTCATGTCCAATCTTTCATTACTCAACATCATTGAGCAATTATATGATCGGGCCTAATAAATTTGGAAAGAACAGAAAGGGATTACCCATAGCACAGAACATTAAATTTCACCAAGTGTCGTTTTTTCCTTTGAGTCGAAGAATTATTTATTTAAATAATAAAAAATATATTCCTGGGTAAAGGGTTTCCTGATACGGAAAATCCCGGGAAATGGTTTCCTATATTTATGCTCCGCTCTGACCCAAAAAATAAAAAAATAAAAAAATTGTTTGCACCGCGACAAAACCAACTCCTAAAACCCTAAAATTTCAGAAGCAAGCAACAAGTCTTTCACCCAAAACCCCGAAACAGCAAAACCCTGAAAATGTCATCTTCAATTCCTCTCCGCCATCTCCGCCAGCTCTCCACCACCGCTAAATCTTCAATCTCCATCTCACAAGCGAAGTCCAAGCTCCGAACAGAGTACGACCCTGACAAAGCCCTAGAGATTTACTCCTCTGTCTCCGAACACTACTCGTCTCCTACCTCCTCTCGCTATGCTCAGGACCTCACCGTTCGTCGCCTCGCCAAGTCTCATCGCTTCGCCGACATCGAAAAATTCATTGAATCTCACAAAAATGACCCGAAAATCACCCAAGAGCCTTTCTTGTGCACCCTCATCCGATCGTACGGCCGTTCCGGCATGTTCGACCACGCAATGAGGACCTTTGATCAAATGGACCAGCTGGGTACTTCGAGATCTTCACTATCCTTCAATGCTCTGTTGACTGCGTGCACCAATTCGAAACAGTTCGAAAAAGTCCCCCAGCTGTTCGATGAAATTCCCAACAAGCATGGTGTCTCCCCCGATAAAGTGTCGTATGGTATATTAATCAAGTCGTATTGCGAGGCTGGTAAGCCCGAGAAGGCGATTGAGACTCTGAGGTTGATGGAGGAGAAGGGTATTGAGATAACTGCAGTGACGTTCACCACAATATTCAATGCTCTGTATAAGAAAGGCAATGGTGAAGAGGCTGAGAACTTCTGGAATGAGATGGTGAAGAAGGGTATTGAGGTTGATGCTGCCGCTTATAATGTTAAGATTATGTATGTCCATGGCGGGAACCCGGACAATGTGAAAGCCTTGATCGAAGAAATGGCGAATGCCGGGCTGAAACCCGACACTATTAGTTACAATTACTTGATGACTTGTTATTGCAGGAATGAGATGATGGAAGAAGCTGTCAAGGTTTATGAGGGGTTGGAGGGAAATGCTTGTAATCCGAATGCTGCAACTTTTAGGACTTTGATATTTTATCTGTGTAGTAGTGAGGATTATGATAAGGCGTATAAGATTTTCAAGAGGAGTGTGGAGGTGCATAAGATCCCCGACTTTAATACGATGAGACATTTGGTTGAAGGATTGGTGAAGAAGAAGAAGATGAAGGAGGCCAAGGGATTGATACGCACAATTAAGAAGAAGTTCCCTCCTAATGTTTTGGTTGCCTGGAAGAAAGTGGAGGAGGGTCTTGGTTTGACTTCTTCTGATAGGAATGCTTCTTCAGTTCCTGATGACGACGAGGCTAAGGAGGCTACAGCATAGTTATTAGCGGGATTCTGGTTGGTCTTGTGCTGAATGTGTTGATTACTTCATCTGCGGCCGCCCGAGTTAATCTGGTGAAACCGTGAGCAAGGATGCCAATTTTCCGCTGAAGCAAGTTTGAAGCTTTTGGAAATTGTAATGCTGTAAAAGCTCCAATTTTGATTTTTACGTTAGTTTTCTACTCTGTTTTCTGCTATTTGGTTGAATCTGTTCACCTATTGTAGTGCTAGTAAAAATTACTTGGCTCATCTGGCATTTAGTAAGATTTCAGAGCCCTAGTTCAAGCTGTCTTTTATCCAGTATGGAAGCAGGCGTATTTTATTACTTTTTATCCTGCTTATGCCATAGCCAGTATGAGGATTCCGTTCACATCCTGCTGAGTGTTAATACTCTGTAATGTTTTATTTTCCTTTTACAAATTTTGATTAACAATATGTTACATTAGAGTATTGTGATAACTTTGATTAAGAAAAAACTGGTTGAAAGTTGTCCTACCACCAGAGTGAGTTTAACGGCTATGAAGAAATGTTAATATTACAATTCGAACCAGAGTGAGTTTAATAGTTTAAGTAATACAGTTCTCTGTCAAGGATCCACAAAACTATTTTGGCTCAGAATCAGAACCAAAAATTTATTTGGAGTTCCCAGATTGTATAGAATAGCGGAGGTCACTGGGTTACTGTTACAGAGGAGGTAGTCCCAGGATTGCATATGAGTGTCGTTCGATTGTAAATGACAGAGCCATTGGATTGCAGGGGGAGTGTCAAGCAGTGAAGATAACTACTCAGCCAAAGCTATTTTGTTATACACCAAAGAGCAAAGAAAAAACTCAAAATCACTGTCAGCAGTGAAATTTATAACTACTCAGCCAAAGCTATTTTGTTGTACACACACCAAAGAGCAAAAGAAAAAACTCAAAATCACTGTCAGCAGTGAAATTTATAACTAGACATATGACATTTTGTGGGCCAGTTATTTCCTAATTTCTTTTTGTAAATAGAGTAATAAGGAAAGTTTTTAAGGCCCAACCCTGCTGAGTGAAACGAAGATGCCACACAGCTTAGGCTGGATATCTTGAAGTTCAGGTTCTCTTTCCTTTCTTGTACTTGCAGTTCTAGTTTAATACTCCTTCCGTTCAGTTCTACTTTCGGTTCAAGTAGTTGATTTTGTTTGCTTTCAGATTTCTGAAGATTTATCATTGGAGTTGTTTGTTCAGCTGGCCCTCTTAGTGTGCCTCAGTTGAAGATCAAAGCCTGCCTTGCAGGTTTTGCTGGTTGCATACCTGTGTGTTAAACTCCAAATGAAAATATATGAATTTGAGCGAGAAACCTTCACCAAGGATACGATTTTGTTGAAATCTGTAATTAGAAAGATTCTAATTATGGAATGAATAATGGTCCTTTTCTCAAGTTACTCTAGCTCCCTTTTCCTTGTTAAAGTTTTCTACTTCTAACTCTATTTTGTATTTAACTGCTAAACAGGAAATCAAGGTGCTTAATATGATCAAACTTTATGGGAAGCCAATATGTGTAAATAAGGTACTGAACTGTTTTCCTTCCCTAGCTATCATTTTCTGGGTCTGTACATCTGTCATCCTGTTCTACATAGACAGGTACCAATCATAGAATTGCACTTAATTTTTGTTTTTTGAGGGCTAGGCATTCTGTTCCGTCGTAATTTTGTTTTTTGAGGGCTAGGCATTCTGTTCCGTCTCTACCGACTGCATATCATATATGTTCTGTAGTGTTGATAGATTGTGTGAAAGAGATTTCAAGTATCTAAACTAGGGAGGGTTCTACTTATAAGTAAAAGCGGAACTTCTGCTACGCTTTGTTATGAGCTCCATGCTATCACTCCTGGAAATTGGAAATTATATTTATTTTGGTTTTGAAGCCAAAGTCAAAAGGGTATTATTTTAGTTGCAATACACATATAACTTTCTGGCATTTGCTCATTGTTGTAATGCTTGCTGAAATGGTGGCTATTTTACATGAAGTTGATTTAGAATTTGAATTTCTTGCACAGCAGTTTTACATTACAAAGTAGCCCAAAACTTAATTTTCTCTGTAGTTTCTTCTGTTGAGTGACAAGAAGGGACTAAATAGGTAGGCTGGGCTAGAACTTAGAACTAAACAAGCCAGATAGATAAAGATCACGGGCACCGTGATTCAGACTCAGTAGACCACAGGGTTGGGATCTTTGATTTGATCCTCTAAAAAAGCGTGCCTCAAACAATCCCAAAGGCAGATAGTAGGTAGAAACAAAGAAAAGAATCCAAGGGTGGAGGACACATGGGTTATTGCTGCAACTGTGACTGGCTGATGACAAAGATTTTTTGATGAAACACAGACATAATGAATGAGCACGCTGCAAGCCTACGCTCTAAGCCTCTAAAGCTAAGATTGATAGATAGATAGATAGATAGAAAGATGGGTACACGCAAAAGAGACACGAGTACATATGAACCAGAAAGATCTGATCAACTGAGCTCATGCGCTAAAAGAAGCTCTGCTACTTACTTGTGGTAAATAAAACTCATAGGGACATGTGCTGCTGATTTCAATTTTGAGCCAGCTATATAATTTCTCAGGTGGATGATGAAGCTCTGATACCGTGTGTGCTCTCCACACTGAAACTTTACCATTTCCACAAAAGATTCATTCTCTTCAGCCAAGAAAGAGAGAGAAAATTAAATGACAGCCTAATCAGCCATTTACTATTAACAGTATGAGTGAAGTGTTACTTTTTACTGCAGTGCTGGGTCACAACAACCAGGAGAGAGAGAGAGAGAGAGAGACTAGTGGGGCGGGATTGAAGAGGAGCACCACCTGACTGATGATGATGACTTGTGAGGAGGACCGAGTTGGAGGGTGGGTCATCAATTCGTCATGTCGTCATGGATCCGATTCCATTTCTCTACTTTTATTACGTTACGTGGTGTGTACGTAATAATAACAAAGGGCGAGGGCAATTTTCTTTCTTACTTTCTTTCCATTTGTGCGTAAAAGAGAAAGGTGAAAGGAATAGAAACAAATGGCAGACCCCACCAAAAGAAACAACGAAATAATAGAAAGAGGAGCAAGCAAATTGCATATCGGATCCAATAGCGAATTTTAGTTTTTCATGTATAAGGGATGTGTTAGCTTTTAGCAACTCGAGAAGATTTCGGTAATGTACATGCAATGGCACAATCAAATCAAACAAGGTCCCTATGTCCGATAAACAATTACAATCCTTTTGAACAGTACAAGTTGTGCTAACAACATTTGTTAGTTGTGAGACTCAATTACATCAATAGTCAACGATTACATTATTTATGTACGTCATCAACAGTCAACGATTACATTATTTATGTACGTGTGAGAGTACGTGTGAGCGGTTGTTTATACGTTGTATTACTACCAAACAAAATTATCAAATATTCCAACAACAAGATACGACATCATATTGACTTTCATGGACTAGAGTTGGATAGTAGGCATGTCCCCCACAGAAATGAGCGTCCAAAGCGGAGAAGATTAGAGCTTTTTATTGATGTTTCTTCCAAGTTGCAAGCTACAACATCATTTCAGTCCATGAGAAGGCAGAAGGCAGAAGACTGGCTTTTTAATCATTGGTCGGTCCACATGCTTAATTGGTCCTTAATAACATCATTGATTAAAGTTGTACATCCCAATATTTTCAACTGACTCTGTTCTTGTGTTGTGTCCGCGTGATACTCTCAGGCTCCCTGTCAAAGGAGCTACCATATCATGTCATGTCGACCAAAAGTGCAAACTCGTTTATTAGCTCTTTCACCTTTCACTACCTCCCAACTTTTGCTTTTTAATCAGGCACCATTCATTAATGTGTTAGACAAGTAATTGAATTCAACCCCCATAATTTAAGCTGTAAAGAAGAATCACACACTGTATATCAAACGGACTCCGAGCTGTTCCTGAAGAGATGGAGCAATTGTTTGCGAAGAGTTAGCAAATTGTTCGAGCCCCATTCAAATTGTTCGCCCATTTGAATCGTTTAAATGTTATAAAATGCGGATAAATGCACGATCTTTTTTTGAGTAATCTCATCTTGCATTGCATTTGCATGCCAAGTACTTCCATTAACTGATCATCCATCTTTCTACGTAGAATAACAACATGCACCACAACAAATTAATGAAAAATTAGCCACTACCATTATCATCTTAACTAGAAACCTTTAAAACTAACCCATACTATTTCATATGATCTCTTGCAACACATATATTACATAAAACCCTCAAACTGAAAAATAATTAAAGTGATCATCTAGTTCGTGTTTTATTTTCATTCGTTTGAGAGCTAGCTAGCTAGGTTTTAAAGAGCTCTAGAAACTCCTGCTCCAGATGATGATCTTGCACTACCAGTAGCGCAACAGAACAGAGCCTCCCAAATCTCGGCGAAAGCTTCAACGATGACCCCATGGTGCTCCCTCGAGTTCAGAGACAAGAAACAATGGAGCAACTGCTCCAACTCTCTCTCGTCGAACATCTGCTTCTCCAAAATCATCTCCATCATCGACCTCTTGAAGTCCTCGTACGGATCCTCCGACTTCTTCACCACCGCGAAACTCTCCCTCACCTTCCCCTCCACCGTGCACGGTATCAGCCTCTGAAACACAGACAGCCTAGCCGGCGCCGCCGTTTCCATCTCCGCCGATGACCTTCTCGAGACGCTGCGTTTCGCGGCGCTGCTGCCACGCTTCTTTTTCTTTTTCCGGCGAGGAAGTGGCGGGGATGAGTCGGTGGAGAAGCTTCTGGAAGATCTGGTGGAGACGAGGGTTTCGGTTTCTTCGTCGTCCAAGCCGCCACCGCCTTCGCTGCTGAAAATTCCGGTTTCGAAGGAGGACGTGCTGATCCGGATGCGACTTGTCGTTGTTTTCTTCTTTTTGTTTTTGACTCGTCGTTTTTGGTTCGTTTTCTTGTTCTGCTCCGAGACGGAGGAGGGAGGAGGCGAAACGGTGTCGTCTACGTCGGAGGAGGCGGAGGCGGAGGAAGTGTAGATTTTGCTGCGTGGGTTAATGTCGTAGACCTTGGCGACCACGTGCCACTTGTCCTCTCTTTCCCACTCGAACTTATGATGATGGTCGGGCGGCGATCTGGTGCGGTCGTCGTCGGAGAGTGTTGGTCTGGATCTGATGCCACAGAATAACACGTGGCGTTTGATGGAGGAGTGGTGATGGATTTTGGACGGTAGAGGTGGTGGTAGTGGGGTGGTGGCTGGGAAGTTCACGTGGTTGACTAAGGGGGGTGGTCGGGGGAGAAATGAAGGGACAGGATTTGAGGGGAGAGTGGAGGGGTCTTTTGAACGGCAAGATTGGAAGGAGGGGATCACTCGGGAGATTCGGAACTTGAAACGTTTCGCCATGAAGGATGGACGTTTCTTAAGAAACAAGCTCTCTGTGTATGTATGTATGGGAGACTAACTTGGCAGGAAGCAGGAAGCAGGAAGCAGGAAGCAGTAAGGAGCAGTGTGATAAAATTGACATGCAAACTATTTGTGTATGAGAAGTGGTGGGGCTTAAATAGAAAGTTGTGTGCACCAATTCTCTCCAGTTCCACTCATTTTCCACTCTTCTGTTTATAACAATATAGTCTTTTACTTTTTAATGTCACTCATATAATGTTGTTGATTTTCTCGTATCCAATGTTATAATACGACATGATGTTTAAGAAATGGAAATGCTAAAGAGACCAATTTTAAATATATAAAAATTCAGTATAAGTCCAATTCTTATGATAAAATTTGGGTGTAATCCACACATTTGTTGTTAGTAATTCAAGTCCTCTGACTTTTGTGCCATGTAGGATTACTTACCCTCTTTTAATTTCTAAGGTTTATATTTTATTTTCTTAATTTTTTAATTTATGTTGTGCTTCCAATTTTGCCCCTAAGATAGAAATCGGATAACCTAAAAGCCAGCAAAATATCAAAAATCGCGTTAAACAATCTTCAGACGCCAAGAATAGAAAGAATCGCAGAAATCGTATCTTCCACAATCAATTATGGCCCTGTCAAGCCGATTTCTGCAGATTTCATGCTTCTTAATTGTCGAGGGTTTTGGGTTTCATTTTAGAGTTGAATTTGCCTTTCGTCTTCTTCAATTGCATCCGGTGGAATTTGTCGTCGTTTGGGGATTCTCATCTTGCTTCTCCATCAATTGCAGTGCCTGTGTTCCAGGTATGTTGTATATTTACCTCTTTTGTAGGTGGAAACCTTTGACGTTAACAAAACCTGATTCTTGAACGAATTTGTATATGTAACTACTGCTTTCTGAACCAATTTCTTTTTGTTTTCGTTTTCTAATTGAGGACCCCAACTATGTATTTGACGATAACTAAACCTGCTTCCTGAACGAATTTCATATTCTCTCTCATGGGAATTGGTTGTCTACCTATACCATAGGAAGAAGATGAAGAAACCAGTTCATCTTGTACTCTGTTCCTTGTATTCCACACAATGAATTTCGTTTTCATTCACACCAAATACTAAGATGGACACGCTGTTGTTGAAGAAGTAGTGGTAGTTATCAAGTATAAGATTAGCAATATTGATAAAGTTAGAAGTACAAGCTTATAACGAGCTTATAAGCCCATGGGGTATTATTCTGTCCTTTTCCTATTGTTGTTTGTCATATTTGATTTGTATTATAGTTCAGTAAGTCAGTGTACTTTGATTTATTATTTTTCCTATTAGAGTAAATTATGTATCTGATCTACTCTTGGCTATTTTGTTACATAATTTATTTTGTTCCTTTTATTCCACACAACGAATTCGTTTTCTTTTCCTTATTTTCATTTTCTTGTCCTTTTTTTATTGAGATTGAGAGTTTACTTCATAGTTAATATATGACATAAATTAATTAACAGAATGATTCTAACAAAATTTCGTCCCTGTTTTGATGCTGTAAATAGGATTTTTGTTGTTGCCATTTTTTGTTCTGAAATTTGTTTTGTTGGCTTAATTGGATGTTCTTTGCCTTCTTAATTGTATATCATCATTTGCATGTTCTTTATGGCTAGGAAGGAGTATCGCTCCCTCGAATACAGGTCGGACTTGTTGAAGTTTCATCGCGTAATGGAACGAATTAGAGAGAACATGAGGGAGCCACATATTTTACTAATGCAGAGAACACCTTTTTGGGGGTTGTTTAGATGTTATTGACATCTACCAACTATCGACCCGTCCATCCCTACTTAAATACAAACAAAAACAAAATAAAAACAAAATAACAAGATCAAATACCTGTGCTCAAGATATATACATGTAATTGACTCACAATTTGAAGTATAAGACATGACACAATAAAACTATGCACACAAAGGATGATTACAGAAGTTGAGTTCAAAAGTATCATGTGAAATAGGTCCTCCATGACTTATAGGTGACATATGCACTGTACCACATGTATATGCCAAACGCTTCAGAACATAATCCTACCCACTGTGTAGAGTACCTGTGCAATAGGTACACACTCAAGGAGTTACCTGTAGGTTAGGTTCTGGATGAAGTGCCCTAACAAATCACAAAGTGATAATTGTTACCACTAACAGATTTCGGTAGAAAAACTAGAGTACTTGCAGAACCTTTATGATCAATAGTTTCAAACGCTTAATTATATGCTTTTATGGATGACTGCTTATCAAATGGATGACTGCATAGATGATAAAAGGCAACAGGTTATGAGATATAGAGGTTTTGGGTGACGTTTTGCCTATATTTCATAGGGAAAGTTTAGCAAAATCCAAAGTCTATATATCTACAACGTTGACAATCTTAAATTGTTAATCATAATTCAAACAAACAATGCACAACAAATAAAACAGACGGCGACAAACCAAAATACAGGATGTTGAGGATTTCACCACAACATACCTATAGCATAGGTACATGATCAGAAATTACCTATACAGCAGGTTCTAATTGATGATTAAACCCAGTTAGGATATTTCTCTATTACAGATTCATAAGCCAGCAAATAAAGTTGGATATGCCAGAACGAATTTGCAGCAAAATCATTCACCAATGATTGAGAAAAGCAACAACAAACACTCTCAGAAACCATCAGGAACAATCCATAATAGAAAAAGGATGAACGTACGCTGACTGAAAGAATTTACCTGGGATATTGGTACTTCAATGGACGCCGTCGTTTCTGATAATCCAACAAATTTGGGTTATTCCATCTGTAATCGTGAATTGTTAAAAGAAACCCACAAATATTCCAATTAAGGAACCAAAAAATAAGTGAAAATTAGGAAAGACGGAGCATGACTTTTGGGATTTCTGCAATTTGGGGGATCTGAGATATGCGATTTGGATTAACATATTGGGAAAGACGTCCTTTACTTTCCATTTGTATAGAATGGCAGGTGTTGTAAATAAATTAAATTTTGTGGCCACACTATTTGCTTAGGCGGTTGCACGAGTGGGCTTTAGGACTGGAATTAATAGGTAACAATTATTGTCCTACAATCAAATTGCATTCTTGAAATTGGACCCATATCTAAGAGCCCCTTTTAGATACCAACTTATGTACTATTTCTTTAATATAGTGTATGACCAATTGTATTAGTGGGCTCCACATCTATTAGAGAGATGATACACAAGTTGGTATCTAAAGTTGGTCTTCCTAGCATGATCCTTAAGAAATGTTCTTTTATTAGACAATCTGGTCCTGTTGTTAAATTAGAGTTATAATAACATTGATTAGTTTGATTTTATTTAGGATGTGTGGTATAAATATGCAGGGTAATAAGATATGTACTGGTTAATAATTGGTAACACACTTTTCGAGAGTATTGTGGATTGAAATTACTTTGAATCCATATACAATAGAGAATCTATTGTTGGATTATTATTTTTTGGGGTTGCGGGTATATGAGCAGGCTAGCCTGTTTCGCTGTGGACTGGTGAGCTGCTGCCATTTCTCCCTTCTTGTATTATTTTTGTGGGAAGATATATGAAAGCCAAAGGAGCCGACTTCCAAGAGAGTAAGACACACCCCTGAAATTGGGAGACTATATATATATATATATATATATATATATATATATATCTAGGCACATGTTATGTACGGTAGCTAGCAGTATCCAGGCCGTACGCTGACGGATTCTTGGCAGGTGATCATAGATTCATAGATTACAAAATGCTGAAATATTAACTTGAATTCATTAATTATTATAATATTATTCTGTATGATACATTCTCTTTGGGGAGACAAGTCAATAGAGTCATGACAAAGTTGATATCTTAAAATTTGATTTGCATCTCCTGCAGGGCTTCCACACTGTGTTTGTAGGGTAGGGGAGCCAATTTCTTTTTTGGTGAAATGAGGGGGAGCCAATTTCCACCAGGCCCCTACCCACCACAATCAACGTTGAGTTGTTTGATCAAGTCAATGGTCAAGCAAATGCATTTTGACAACATGCGTTCCAATGATTTGGAATTTTCATCCACAGGATCTGAGTTAGGGCATGGTCCAATTTAATTATGTTGCATGAACGTCGAAGAATAGCAAAGATTAACTAATATGGTTTGTTTGGAATTGCATTTTGAAAGCTTCAAAGAGTGTTAATAACAATTTTTGTCAAACATGTGCTTCTTAATCATGAAATCGTATTTGGACGATCCAAAGAGGTTCTTTATTTAGTTCGATATCCTGTAATAAAACCATTATGCCTTGCCCAATACATGCGTTTCGGCAAAGTTTCTGGACCACAACCTCATCTCATGTTGGGGTTTATGACTTAAGCATTGGAGATGGCCTAAGAAGATAGCTGAGGACCAGTAGAACATTGGAGATGGCATGACCTAATAAAAGAAAACAGATAGCCGATGATGAGGAGCCAGCAGACAAGAGTTTCAAATTTGTAAGCAGCGCTGTGTAAAAAAATTCAACCTCATAGCCTAGCTAGGGCCCAGCACTGCAGCACCTGTCTCTGAACTCATGATAGTGGTAATAATCTTTGCTGGATTGGTGGATAAATAGTCAAAAAAGATAAGTAAAAAAGCAAGTCTTGTCCCCTCCAAGCTCCTATTCTAGCACTGAAATTGCATTTACGCAAACGTTTCCAAAGCTTGCAAATAAAGAAGCCAAGCTTCTTTTTGTGCTTGAGAGATGCAATTTGTACAGAGACTGTGAACTCAAAAAAAAAGTCAAACAGAAGAAGAGGCATTTCTAATTTATCAAACACGTGGTGTGGGATAAGATATCCAAGGAAACAAAATCATCTTTGCATGCAAGTGTCTCTTTTTTTCTTTTTTCTTTTTCTCTGTCCTTTTGGACATGCTCTTTGGCAAAGTTAATGCCTCTGTCTATACATAAAATCTCAGATGTTCCCCCACCCCAGCATGGGGCGCTCTGCGCTCTCTGAGCATCACAGTCGTGACTCTGTGGAGCTCATTTGCACAGTGAATAATATCACTTTTTTGTTCAGGTTGCTTTGCTTGTATTGTTTTTTTCTCTTGTCTTTCTAAATTTTGAAATTTTACTATTTGGGTATTCTATTCCCTATTGTATGCCAGCCCATTTTGTTGAGAAAGCGTTGCCCTTTGGCCATATCTCAACTCTACTTATTAGGTAAGAGTATTTATTCATGCACCGAAGGTCATAGGTTTGATTCATTTTTCCTCAAATATTGTTTGTATTTATACAAAACGAACATCGTAACACGGAAGAAATTATAGAATATTACAATGGTACGGCCACGTGATACATCTTGTACACATATTATAATATGGATGGACGACAATGTTTGTTTTCTCCCCTTTTAGGGAATAGAATATCCACTTGTATTATAACAAGTATACATAATGTACCACATGACTGTACTACTGTAATATTCTATAATATCTCGAAACATGGAAGGTGAGGATAAAAAAAATAACAAATAACAAAATATGGAAGGTGAAGTGGTGTTTGGTAAAGTTTGCAACTTTCCTGGTTTCATCATCAGTCAGATATTTATATCATACCTTAACAACTTATCTTCCACTTGCATATAATTTAATCTGCTAAACAAATACAATGCCTTCCAATATTAAAGGGGTACGAAATTGACCCACCATTGTTTTTCTTTCGTTTTCTTTTTACATTATATAAAAAGGTAAGAACTTGCCCATTGTTCGAACAAGAAGACAGTCGAGCATTGGTTTGTGACATCATATGCTTGATGAGTTCTCTTGTCGTATTGGCTGCTAAAACTTAGGAGAACATCTTTTGTCACTCTTTGACGAGTGTTATGTATGTTCGTCATCCCTAAATCTAAAATCGTCGGGTTTCTTTTTTTTCTTTTTCATTTTTGCTGTGAATTTTTTTTATTATTATAACAAATTATGTAATTAAAACAGATAAGATGGCAGATGACACAGATTGCATGTGCCACATATTTTAGCATCTAAAAGTTGATAAACAATTAGTGCCCGTGGCGTTATTGATCTAATTATATCTCTGCATTTCATAAGAAAACAGATTTGATAGTAACGTAATAAAACAGAAGTGTAGCTGGCTTTGGCCTAAGTAGGAACAATATACTGAAAAGCTCAGAAAGGATATTTGTCAATTTCACCGCCCACCCACTTCTCTTTAGTGCAATATTATTGTATGACATAAGTGAAAGCGATTCTAATTTGCCATGTCACTATCGACTGGAAATCAAAAGGCAATTTTGCCAAATCTTCCAGGCACCCCTTCTGTTGTGCACTTAACCTGGCAGTGGCACGACCATATAAAAAAAATATTAAAATCAAATTTGAACCATAAATACCAACTTATTCGATCCCACCAAGAGTTTTAATCCAAATTTAAACCATCATTTTTGGTCAATGGCACATCAAGCGGGTGAATTTGGCCGAATATGCAGGTCGGATTTCATGCTTGACCAAAACAAATAAGTAGGACAAGGACTGAAATCATCCTTTCAATTAGATCAACCCTTTTTCCTTTGAGTTTCTGAGAGTTTATGGTTAGTTTGAAAATATAATTACCAGTTTAATTCAAGTCCGCGTTTTGTGTTAAAGGAAAGGTTATCCATTTCCCACATTTTGTTTTGCAATATTGTTTTTACTGTTAGAAAATATCTTAGGCAACTATACATTGTTTATTGCATGAACTCCCAAGTTTAGCGCTCTTATGTTCCTATATAAACCCCATCTGTTTACCCTAATGACACATATATTTTCTCTTCTCTTCTGCTCTTTTCTAAATTTCGCTTGGCGTTTTTGAATCTTTAGTGTAGTGTTCTTGAGTTCTTTTGAGCATTCTTCAATCCTTGAGACTTGTTTTTAACTCTTTTAAGTCCCGAGATTTTCATCCAAAGGATAGAGATCAAGTTGTTTCTCGATACACGTCTTGTTGTATCTTGTTGCACCCAGTTCTGTATATGCCTCCATCTTCTTTTATTTTTTATTTTTAAAAATGAATGATTCTCAGTGAAGAAGAGTTGTTATAACAGAGAGACAATATTGGCGAGGAGGAGCTTGTGCGACATACAGACGCTTCAGGTTAAAATGGAGCCTGAGAAACACACAGATATGGTCGAGAAGAAGGCCTCAATGGAGGTGGAGGGTAGCAGCGAAGCCCCGGAAAAGATCAACAAGATTGCTTTACTTTGTGCTGTGGTTGGCTCAATTATATCCATTATATTTGGCTATGGTAGGCTTTCTCTCTCTTGACAGGATAATACTTGTTCATTTTACTTTCAATTTGCTAAGGTTTGTGGTTTAATATCTAGATCAATGTAGGTTCTAAAGAATTTGGTTTTCCATGAATTCCATTTTTAACTAACATGGTAATGAAAATTAATTCGAACTGTGAATACAGATACTGGTGTGATGAGTGGAGCCATGATCTTCATCAAAGAAGATCTCAAAATCAACGATGTCGAAGTCGAAGTACTAGCCGGAATTCTCAACATTTGTGCTCTAGTGGGATCTCTAGCAGCTGGAAGAACCTCTGATTATATCGGTCGGCGTTACACTATTGTTGTAGCCTCCATAATTTTCTTAATTGGGTCAATTCTAATGGGGTATGGTCCAAACTATCCTGTGCTGATGACTGGAAGATGCATTGCTGGCATAGGTGTAGGCTTTGCACTTATGATTGCGCCAGTTTACTCCGCAGAAATTTCATCTCCAGGAACCAGAGGCCGTCTAACCGCTCTGCCAGAGCTTTGCATAAGTCTTGGCATCTTACTTGGTTACGTTTCAAATTATGTTTTCGGAAAACTGCCATTGACACTTGGATGGAGACTGATGCTAGGCATTGCTGGAGTTCCTTCAATTGTTTTGGCATTTGGGATTGTCAAAATGCCAGAGTCGCCAAGGTGGTTGGTGATGCAGGGCAGGCTAGCAGAGGCCAAGAAAATTTTGTTTCTAATTTCTAACACCAAAGAAGAAGCTGAGGCTCGTTTTTGTGATATCTTGGTTGCTGCTGGACTTGATGAAAATTGTAAGGAAGATGTAATTGAGGTTCCCAATAGCACCAAGGGTGAAGGGGTTTGGAAAGAACTACTTTTGAGGCCAACTCCGCCCGTCCGTCGGATTCTAATCGCAGCCATCGGAATCCATTTCTTTGAGCATGCCACAGGGATAGAAGCTGTTGTGTTATATAGTCCAAGAATTTTCAAGAAAGCTGGGGTTAGAAGCAAAGACAAGTTGTTGCTTGCCACAGTTGGGGTTGGTGTTACAAAGACTTTGTTCATATTGGTAGCCACATTTTTGCTTGACAAAGCTGGCAGGAGGCGCTTATTGTTGACAAGCACTGGTGGCATGATTGTGGCTCTAACAGGATTAGGGTTTTGCTTGACAATGGTAGAGTACTCCAAAGAGCAGCTTACTTGGGCACTAAGCTTGAGCATTGTGTCAGTTTATGTGTTTGTGGTTTTTTTCTCAATTGGGCTTGGGCCCATAACTTGGGTTTACAGCAGTGAGATTTTCCCTTTGAAATTGAGGGCACAGGGAACAAGTATTGGGGTGGCTGTGAACAGACTTACAAATGCTACAATTTCTATGAGTTTCCTTTCAATTTATAAGGCAATTACCATTGGAGGGGCCTTCTTTATGTTTGCAGGCATGGCTGTCTTGGCCTGGATCTTTTTCTATTTCTGCTTGCCAGAGACCAAGGGGAGATCATTGGAAGAGATGGAAATGGTTTTCAGCAAAAGCAAAGATACTAATAAGTCTAGAAATGGTATTGTATGAATGCAATCAAGAATTTATGTACTCTAAGCCAGCGGGGTATAACTCAGTTGGTTGAACTTTTCCACCTCCACCCATGTGGGCAGAGGTTGGAAACCCCAAGGCACCCAATAAATATTGGTGTAAACCCCTCTCCCGCTATCGCTTGTACTAAAAAAGAAAAAGAAAAAAGAAGAAGTTATTAATGCACTCTATGTTTTATCTAAAACCTTAATTATGTGGTGATTACAAGCTTTGCTCATATAGTAAACAGATTACAAACCTTGCTTATCTAGTAAAAGAGTACAAGCTAAAATCTCAAATATAGTAGTAGTTTACAATAAATTTATAGATGCACAAATTTTCTAAAACGATAATGCATAAAAATTGATTGTGCCATCAAGAAAGAATCAAGGAGATGATGTAGCTGGTGGCCAATCCTCTGTGTACATATGGGACTTTATTTTTTGGGGACAACTCTTCAAACAATACAAATTATTATTTTTATTATTTTTTAATCAATACAACTTTTGGAATAACCCTTCAAATTAACCTACGGGTAAGGTTTAAAGAGCCATATGCTGGAAGATGCTCTTACACCTGTATGTAAGGAAAAAGTTGCTAAGACGAGACAAAATATAAATCTATGCTCGATCCTGTGGGTTCCATGAGAGTTGTAAAACATTATAAGCTGCCTTTTCTTACTTCTCATATATCAGCCTCAGGGATGCATGTGGTTTTGCTGTGTTTGCTTCCATGATATCCTTTCTATTTGGCTATATAGTAAGTTATCTCCTCTTGATTAGTCTTTCCAGAAGCTTTGTAAAGAATTTATTTCAGGTGTGATTGGATTGTCATCCTACAGTTCATATATCCAAGTATAATATTCATAATCATAATAATGGATTATTAAAAATCCGATCTAACATCCTGTAATTTAGACGAATTTTGGATGATTTGGATGTAGAGCAAATTAGGGGAATTTTGGACCGCATTCGTGCGTCAATATAATTTATTGTATAGAAATATATATGATCCACTTAAGCTTTTATACTGATATTGTGCCTACAACTGAATACAATAGGATTTTCTTTCATTGATGTTTCTATTTAGACCCTAAAATTTTAAAAGTTGAAATGGACTCGAATTGAGAAAACCATACTAAAAGCCAAAAAACTATCTAACGAGCACATGATGGTGAAGGAAGTTGAGATTATCATCTTTCTAGTGTGGGACATTTCTTCACACTCTCACGGATGGATGGAGTCTCTTTATAAGAGAAAGATAGTTGTGCGTTTGAGCAAATGTAGGATAGTATGGCTAATGTTCAAATACAATCAATTGTTGTTACTCATTAGGAAAACAATTTGTATCTGTCTCCTCAGGCATTAGATCATATTTGAGGTAGTTTAAAATTGAAAATGTACAACCTTTTTTTAGAGGAAATAAAGTCTTTTGGCAAATTCGAAAGCAGCAAAACAATAAATTGATTTCAACAGTTCGGTGTACCAAAAAAGCATTAGAAAATATTTAGGATGACTCTTCAAATTGCCAAATGGGTAAGCATATATATATGTGGGAAAGAGGAGATGGGATGAGACATTTAATTCTCAATTCAGGTCTTGGTGTTATGAGTGGAGGCGTGCTTCACCTCCTAAATCCAGAGGCTTCTTAACCTCTCTACCAGAGATTTGCATCAGCATTGGAATGATGTTAGGGATTGTATCAAGCCGCAGCGTTGACTGGACAGTAGTGAGTGGGAAGCTAAGAAAACTTTACTACTCGTTTCGAACACGAAAGAGGAAGCTGAATTTCGTCTTCGAGATATCACGGTTGCTGCTGGCCTCCACCGAAAAAATTGCTATGAAGATTTGGTGGAGTTCCTTGATGTTGATGGGAATAGGAGGGGTGTAGTGGTTTGGCAAGAGCTAGTTTTGAGGCCAAGTCCTAGTGTCCATGCAACTTTAGTTGCAGCAATTGGCATCCATTTCTTTGCTCATGCCACGGGCATAGAACCAGTCGTGTTGTATAGAATGTTGAACGATGACGGTACGGTCACTAGAGGCGAGCTCTTTGTTTCTTGCATTCTGGGATTGTTACCATTAACCTCATAATCAAAAAAATTATATGCAACTTGGTAGCCACATGTTTGGTTGACAGAATTGGTAGGAGGCAGCTCTTGTTGACAAGCATTGGGGTATTTTTGTAACTTTATCAGCATTGGGCTTAGGTTTAACCAGAGCGCTATGAAGGATTTAGCACCTTTAGGAAGGTGGCTATGTGGCTTTCTTCTCACTTGGGATAGGGCCTATAACTTGGGCTTATAGCACTGAGATTTTCCCTTTGAAGTTTTGGGGTGGTTGTGAATAAAGTTATGAATGTTGTAATTTTAATGGGTTTCGTTTCGGTGTATCGGAGAGATATTGTTGGAAACTTGGATAGGCCTTTTTCATGTTTCCAGGCATATCTGTGTTGGCAGGGTTTTTTTCTTCTATTTCTTCTTGCCAAAGACCAAGGGGAGATCTTTGGAAGAGATGGAAATGCTTTTTCAGGAGAAGGACTAGACTAGAGATTATGATTCTAGAAATGAAGTTGCAAATGGTGTTGGAATGCAGTCAAAAAAAGATGGGTAGAATGTAAATTGGAGAGCAAATTTAGGTGAAGCTGAAATGTATTGTATAAGGAGTTGTTCGTATGCAGTGGATCAATTTGTCATTATTTTTATAGATTTGTTATCTCATCGTTTTATTTTAAGAATACGAAGAATGTGACATGTCTTAAATTTGATAAAAGATAATGCGTGAACGTAAATCTTAGTTATGTAGAAAAATTTAAGGAACATGGAATAAATCAATTAAATTGTGTTATAATGTACCTATACAAAATTTGTGACTAATATATAAGTACGCAAGTTTTGTTCATTTTAATTTAACAAATATGAATTGGCCCCCTAAAATAGAAAGTTAACAAATCAAATCCATCAATAAATCTTGCCCACATGACACCTACAAACAAGGAGAACCTTGGGCAAATTCACACCCACCCCATCCTCTCATCAACCCCACTTTCCCCACATAGCTCCCTCTTTTCCCTCATCAGGCAGAGGTTTGAGGAAGGAGAGCAAGGTGTTTAATTAAGCCCTTGACTCTGAGTCTCTCTCTTTTTTTCCCCCTTTTCTTCTCTCTGTTATGTAACATACACATACACATGAGGAAGCTTTGTCCAAATATTGATAAAGAAGATGGCCTTGAGACTGTTCTTGAGGTCCCTATACCAGAAGAGATGTTCACAGGCATGGGAAGCAATGTGCAGGTGCGATTGCAAAACATGATGACATGGATGAAGGCTCAAACCTCCGACAAATGGTCGGCCCCAGTCATCGCGGGACGGTTGAATGAGCTACGGTTCTTGCTTTACCTTGTAGGCTCTCCTCTTATCCCTCTTCAAGTTCAGTTGGGTCATTCCATCCACCGTCCAGTTAGAGATTCTTCCATTGTAAGAACCATCAATCCTTCTCATAGTTGTTATATTTTTTTCTTGTTGCACATGTGATGTGCAAGTAAAAAAGGTGGATGACCTAAAAATATTTGACTTTTTCGTTAACACGTTCACGGTCATTCGTGCCCATTGTATTACTAGATACTAACAATTAATGCATTTAGCCATAGCCACGAATGTCAATGGCTATAATGTACATTTCTTGTAGTGGTTCCATTACTTTAGAAACAAATTCATTTATTTACAGAGAGATGTCACATGGATTTCATCTTTTTCGATGATGTTTAAGATACAAATACAAAATGACTATAGATTATTATATAACATAAGACATCATGAATTTTCCCTTGCTTAATATCCCAATAATAATTGGACTCAAAATGTTACAGCAAGCTTCAACAGCCAAATACATAGTGCAACAGTACACCGCTGCAACCGGAGGCCAAGCAGCATTGAACTCGGTGAACAGCATGTGTGTGACCGGCGAGGTTAAGATCAGTGCGTCGGATTTTCAACAAGGGGACGTGAGCCTAGAGGTGAAAAGGAGCTCGGCCGAGAGCGGCGGCTTCTTGCTGTGGCAAAAGAACCCGGACTTATGGTGCTTAGAGCTTGTTGTTTCTGGCTGCAAGGTCATCTGTGGAAGCAATGGCAAGCTTTCATGGCGGCATTCCTCTAACCAACAAACACCCATCTCTCAAGGCCCCCCTAGACCCTTGCGCCGTTTTCTTCAGGTATATACATATATACTTATATGATCTTCAACATTTTCTTGTTTTCTTTGAACAAAATACCTAACAAACTTTGTATCATGAATAAAACTATTTGTACCGTAACTTTGATGAACAAAAGACAGTGAGGGGGTCAATTGACCCCTAATGATGTAGTGATGAGTCAATGTGCATGGAATTTTTTTATGAAATATGAACATTTTGTAGGGTTTGGACCCAAGGGCCACCGCCAATTTATTCGCGGATGCAATGTGCATCGGCGAAAAGATCATCAATGACGACGACTGCTTCATCCTCAAGCTGGACACAAGCCCAGCAATTCGAGAGACACAGAGCGGCCCAAACTACGAGATAATCCACCACACAATATGGGGATACTTCAGCCAGCGCTCGGGGCTCCTCGTACAATTCGAAGACTCGAGGCTGCTGAGGATGACCAACAAAGCGGACGACACAGATGTGTTCTGGGAGACGAGCACTGAGTCTGTGATACAAGATTACAAGTACGTTGACTCCGTCAACATTGCTCACAGTGGGAGAACTAGGGTTAAGGTTTTCAGATATGGCGAGCAGTCTGCAAACCACAAGAGGGAGATGGAGGAGACGTGGAAGATCGAAGAAGTGGATTTTAATATTTGGGGTTTGACCATGGAGAGCTTTTTGCCTCCTGCTGACATAAAGAAGCAAGGGTGAGATGATAAATTTTCTTCTTCTTTTTTTGTTTTGAAATTAAAGAGATAGCTAAAAGAAAACTTGTGTAAATACTAGTGAGTGGAAAGCAATATATGTATGGCAAAATGATGAAAAGGTTTTGTAACAACAGTTTTGTTTGAGCTGCTTAATTAAATTGAATTTTCTGTTAATTTGTACACATTAATTGTTTGCTGGGAGAGAGTAGATCATACAGCTAGCTTCTGATCGAGGAAGTTGATACCTATATAGCATGTATATGAGTTCTTAAAGTTGGAAAAGAAGGGTAGTATTAAATACTGAAGTATGGTGAAGTTGAGTATCTAGTTGTCAAGTTCGTTTTGTGTTTGTTGTCTATATTATCCGAAATTATATAAAGGAATCAAACTTGGATGCAACCTGGTTAACTGGCCTAATCCCACGTTAGCTCTAAGATTGTTTTTGGACATTGAGGATGTAATTTTATGTAATAACTAATAATAACATGAGATGTTTTCAAGGAGCTTTTAGCTCAAGTGATTAAGAATAATTATTCATGCATTCGAAATTTTGTGTTTAATTTCACTCTCTAAATATCACGTGTATGAAAAGAAAAAAACATAAAATGCGTATAATCTTGAATTCTTATAAACTCATTTGTTCTGACTTTGTATCATCCATGTCGGTTATTCTGGAAAGAAAAAAAAACAACGACAAAAAAACAACTTCTTTTTTTCCACGTGCATAAATATTCTTATATTGCTTTGCATGCATAACTTTCAAGCTTGGCAAACGTCTTCGTGGTCCTCCCTGATTGGTCTCCGTAGGGTGCCTCGAGATGCAGACAGGTGTCCGAAGAAAATCGACATATCTTCCCTGATTTGGAAAACTGTCGGGGATCTGGGCCAGCCCAGAGTTTCTGCATCAGGACGATGTTACCATCAGCCGCCGCGTGTGCGATCCTGCGATCCCCTGAATGCCACGTATTCGCATTCTTGTGTCTAGAAACAGGCCACATAACATTACGTGGTGAAGTTGCTCACACCAAACCTCTTCATGCGATTGGCTGGTGCGGCAATCAGTCAATGAGTCATGTGACCTACCAAATCAAATGTGTATCTATATATATAAAAGCCTGCCTGCCTTTCTTTTACGTGGATCTCCATAGCCATATTTCTTTTTCTCAAACACCTACACAAATATCATTAGGCTTTGTCTCTTCTTCTTCTCTCTGTCTCTATCTGTTCAAATGATGGAAGATTCATCAAACGTACGGATTGATAGGAAAACATCAATAGAAACTGAGCCAAGAACGCTGGGGTTTGATCAAATTCAGTTTGCAAGGGTATGTTTAATGAAAACTTTCTGGGTCTTTTTTTTTTGCTGCAAAATGTTTTCTGGGTTTTTTCAAACATGCATATATATAAGCGTTGATATCAGAAGAAATAATTGCTCTTAACCACTTAGAATACATGTCGCAACTGGACACACACATATATATATATATATATATGTTGGTTTTACTTCTTCTTTTTTCTGGTTTTTTCGTATGAGTTTTAATTTATTTGCCTTTGTAGTCTTTCTGGATTTGGTGATCATGGTGTTCATATATGCAGGAGGCAGCTAGGTATGTGCTGAAAACAAAGAATATAGAAGAAGCAATGCACATTTTCACAGAGGTAGGCGTGGTTTATGGATGAACATATATAATTAATTAGAGATACCGCATTACATGAGCTAATTAACTCATAAATTTTGCAGGGTTTGGTGCCAGTGGTGAGTTCGATTAACCAAAATGGTGACGAAATGATTGATTCGGAGGAACTTGAGTACTCAGAAGATTATTATATAAGATCACAAGGGCCGAGGGACTGTGTCTCAGCGCCTTTTTAATTTAGCTGCCTTTGTGATCATTTTATTGCTGTGTTCTGAAATGTTAAAAATATTGTATAGTTTTTTTTTTTTTTTTTTTTTTTTTTTTCTTTTCTTTCTATTAGTCTCTGTATAATTTGTGTCTCATGAATTGAGGTCGGATCTTGTCTTGTTTCCTAAATCTAATTTGATCTGCTTTGTCTTGTAAATTTTTCTGTTGCGTCATCATTTTCATATCACGTTTCTATTTATGGGGACGCTGCGTTATTTTCTATCAACTTAAATTTTGAACTATTAAGTGTTTAAAATAATCTTAAAATTCTCGTATTGTGCACAATGCAGCTGCATGTGAGAGATGATGCTAACTTGATATACATAAATTCATTCCGTGACAACTTTGATAACTTGTGTAGCATAAGAGCAACTCCACCCATTTGCCCTTAGCCATGGCAAGGGGGGAGGTAGGGCAGCCACTATTCACGTGAATAGTGGTTGCCCTTGCAAAATCCGAATTTTGTGTTTTCACCCGTTGCCCTTGTTAAGGGCAGTTACTATTCATTTTTTTGTTTTATTCACAACTTTTTTTACCTCAATAATTAATTTGGATAATATTTTCGAATAAGATTTTCGGGTTCCTACGTGTCAATACTATTCATATCTCATAATCGGATAAAATTTTCAATTTCAAATTTCATATAAATTATATAAAAAAAAGGCTGGTATTTATAGAAAAAAATTCATTAATTTTTGGGTATTTTTAAAAAAAATTTCCGAATTTTTTCCAGTATTTTATTGCAAAAAAATTGGCTGCCGTTGGATTGGAGGAAAAAATCAGATTGGAGAGCCCAGACGACGCCACATGGCAACAGGAAAAAAAAATCAAATCAGTGAGGTACTGTAGTGAGTAGTGGTAGTGGGGTACTGTAGCGCTACAGTAACCCCCCCTCGTTTTGGACCTCAGGCAGAAGTTGCCTTCGGGCCAGCCCGGGGTGGTGGGTCCCACACCCCCCCGGGCCTGGGCTGCTCCGCTGGAATTTTTTTTTTTTTTTTTTTTTTTTCTTTCCCCTAGCCTCGGGCTGGGCTCATCCGATGGAAAGGCTCTAAGGGGAGCTAGAATTGTAAGATTGGGGGCAGAGATAGAAAACATAAATATATTAAATACATATAAATGTTTAAAACACATGTTAGAATTAATTTTTTTTTAAAAATTAGTCATATTTAATTGTTTTTAAAAAGGGTATTAATTTAAATTACAGGTTATCTATTAGTAAGTTATATATATTACATTATATAATATAGGGAAAAGGCCCTCTCCCATTGGGCTATAATCTTGAGCAGAGAATCTCAAATGATATGGGGAACCGTTTCTCTCTTGGAGTTCGCGTTACTCCGTTCCTATTTCACCTGACCTTTGGTGATCGTTGTCACACTCGACGAAACGGAAAGCAAAAGAACCTTGACACTTCACTGCTTGCCTGATTGCGCCGCCTATCACCTCTTTGCTTTCTTGCAGCCCAAAACTTATTCCAGGGATCCGCAAAGCCTTTCGCCGACATTAATAACATTTCATATTTCACGAATTGGATTCGGACCAATCAAGCTACTTCCCAAGGCCACTCCTTCCCGCCACTGGTGTAGCAAGCATTTTAGAACACATTCTCAATCTCTTCTATCAAACTTCCACCTTCATCAACCATAATTACACTATTGCCATGGCAGAATCCTTCCCTCCAGATCTCTTCCTTCCCTAGTGATTAAAATTCAGCTAACTCATTTCATAAAAATAAAAAATAAAAAATAAAATAAATTTCAGCTAACTCAAAAGGTCTCTCAAATCAATTGTATATGGTATGGGCTTGTTTAATGAATTTGGTTTTTCGTTTTTCGTTTTTTCCCACTTTGTTTTTCTGTTTTGGGCTGGCTGTTCTTGGGCCTTCAGCTCTTGACGAAAAAGACAAAACAATGAATCCAAATGCATACACTACATTGTTTCCTCCTCCAACTTCTATAGTTGTTTGTTGATCTTCTCGTAAGTGCTAATATCAATCCTGTTACTTGTGGTCCAAGCCAAAAAAAGAAAAAGATGTTATTACTTGTGGAATTCTTCCCAGCCATACATTCGCATTCATCCTGCATTTCCTTTGAATATAATTGACAATGGTGGTGTTTTTTCTCCCTCAATTACTGGAGTAAAAAATTGTCATAATTCTAATATTATGGGCCTTAATTCATTCTCTCTTCAAAAAGCAAGTCTGCAAATGAAGCAAGTTAGGGGGGCAACTCAAATTGTTAACTCAAATCAAAGTGGGCATCAAGGTCTATCATGGAAGACTAAGGCTCGAGCAACCCAATTGGTATCTAAGGCCCAAAAGGGTGAAGAGAACATGCAGCAATCGGAGCTGTACAGTATTCAATTGTAGATTGATACAGAGGCGGGGTTAGTAGGGCTACCCCATCAATTTCAATGAGACTAGTGGATTGGAATGTGCGGGGGCTTGGGAACCCCTACACATTCCATGCTATACGACAATTCCTTAGAGTTCAAGACCTCGTTTTTGTGCAAAGACTCTAGCTAACATCTTGATGATCATTTTGCTTGAGATGATTTCTAGTGTTCAAAACACCTTTGTTCATGTCTGGTCCATTCCTGATAATCTCTCGCTTTTGAGCCCATGCTTTTAGTCAACAAACAATGACGAAAAAAAGAGCCAAAGGTTGTTGTTGTGATGCTTGATATCAATATGGCATATGATCGAGTTGAATTTTCTTATTGTCTTCGTTCCCAGTTTGTGTCTTATTGTAGCCATGCTAAGTTTGCTCTGGGTAGTGCGTCTTCAGATGCTTGGCTTGAAGAGGATCCTCCAAGGCCAATGTGTCTCTGCTAGTTGACATTATTATTTTGGTTTTGTTTGTAGCCCTTATGGAGTGTGTGACATTCTTTTTCCTTCATCTCAGATTTTTCCCATTGGGTTTTTTGAGGCAAGATTTTGATGAGACAACATTGTTCGCTCGAGTCTGCAACCTTTGACAATTAAATGAAATAGTACTATTTTTTTTATTTAAAAAAATAAAAAAAATCCTACATTTCCTTTAAAGACTTAATATCTCATCTAAAAGGAGCAGCTTAATGTAATTCTTAGATTTATATATCTCATTTAAGTACCATAAATATTTCTAGTGCACTTCCAATGTGACATTCGGGATACTACAATCTCCCCGCAAGAGTTTGGAGTCCTCGTCAAGCTTACTTGTCTAACATACGAACCTTTCCGACGCGGAATTCAATCATTTACCTACTTATAAATCCATGTTACTTTATAGTGCATTCGAGATACATTTTCTTTGATTCGTTTCATATATTTTGAATTATTTTAACAGAATAAATCCCACATCGAATCACAAGTTGAAAAAGAAAAGGAAAAATGTAGTGTTAGATGGATTCATATCCTTTGTGATTTTCTCTGTCATGATATGCTTAATTTCTTTCCTCCTCATGAGTAAATTAAGTTTTTATTTTAAGGATGACGTGTCCAGTTTATATCCCTTAAATTAAATTTTAATGAAATGACATGTGAAGGATAAAAGTCAAGCAGATCATGACAGAGAAAATCATAATAAAGGATTCATATTCGTGTTAGCTTACTCCTTATCTTCTTTGATGATTAAATGGATTGTCATAATAAATGTAAGAGAAAAATGAGGAAGGAAATTAATAGTAGTGATAGGAGCATGAGAATTTTATAAGGTTACTATTTAATGGCATTTGTCACAATCACTTATTTATTATAGATTATATGGTATGGGGGTGGTTTTTTTTTTTTTTTTTTTTTTTTTTTTTTTTTTTTTTTTATGGTAAATATAATAATATAGACTTTGTATTGACAAAATATAGAGATAAAAAAACAAGGTCATTGAGATCCCATAAGATCAGACGGCCACAATCCATCAAAACCAAAATCCAATTAATTGTCAACCCTATTGAATTTTATGAATTTAATAAAATGTGGTGGCCCGCACAGCATATTTTAAACTCCTTCACCTCTTTCCCTGAAACAGCAAATCCATCAAGGAAACACTCTTCTCTTGCTCCTTCCCTCTCATTGTGTCCTCCACTTTTCTTTTTCCATCTCCAAATCTGAGTCCACATCAGAATGTGAACACCAAGCACAAGATTCACAGACGAAATCTAAAATAGAAAAAACCCAACAACAACAAAAATTCAAACTTTTTTCTGCCATTAAAGTTAAATTAAACTCAATCTCTGTCATTAATCAGCAATGAAGGATGAGGATGGCCTTCCAACGTCGACGACGGCCAGCGCGAAGAAGGAGAGCTCGGATTCGAGTGTAGTACTCGGGAAAGGCAGGTACAAGTTTTGGGCTTTGGCTGCGATTTTGTTGCTCGCGTTTTGGTCCATGTTCACCGGCACCGTCACGCTCCGGTGGTCCGCCGGCAACCTCAATCGGCTCTCCGACGACCTAGACTCTCCTATTCACGACGATCTCGATGTCCTTGTCAGTCCCCTTATGCATTTTTGTTGCTTGTTTTTGTTTTCTGGGTTGGTTTTGTTGGATCTCTGATTTGATGGGTTATTGGGGATTATGGGTATTGTTGTGTGTAGGAAATGGAGGAGAGGGAGAAGGTGGTGAAGCACATGTGGGATGTTTACACTAACAGCCGTCGGATCAGACTGCCCAGGTTCTGGCAAGAGGCATTTGAGGCTGCCTATGAGGAGTTAACCAGTGACGTCCCTGGTGTTCGAGAAGAAGCCATAACCGAGATCGCTAAAATGTCCGTGCGCTCTGTCGATCTCGATCCGCCTCCTGTACAATCTGCAGTGAGTCCCCTTTCTTTTGTGTTTTTTGTTTGATTACTCAAGCACATTGTTTACGGCTGATTTGCTCTTTGTTAAGCAGGCTACACTGCTCATTAGCTGTAGACTGCATTGCTCTTCTAATTAGTGAAATGGGTTAGTTTAGCTTGGGGACTTCGGTACTTTGATTGGGAAGTGTATTAAGGAAATGGGTTGTTTTGTTGTCTACCCTATCCTAATATAGTTTTCTGGCAATCTATACCATCGTTTGCCTCCTCATGTTAGCATTAGATATCTAAGTGGCAGTCTGGCAGATATGAAGTTTTAAGACTATGATGTAAGAATGGAAAGTAAATATGGGTTATCTTCAGACATACCTGGCGTTAGCATCTTAGCATCTAGATGATGGTCCTTTGTTTACCTGTTGTAATTACTCTAAATCACAGAACTTGATCACCTGGTTCGATTGAGATCCTGGTGAATGTCTGAATCCAATGCAAATCTGTCATTGCTCAGCTTTACATTGTATAAGGTGCAGAAACTCAGGCCATGACAAGTGACAACCTAAACTTCTGGCCAATTTGGACTTGGTATTTCAGTAACCATTTTGCTTACGGCATTTGGGTTGCTGAGTGGGTTAAGAAGACTTAGTTGTCACGCCAGATTGTCAGGTGGCCAAAGACAAAAGCTATTTGCCAATACTTGCATTTCACCCTTTTTATAAGAATTAACTGAATTCATTTTGCACGTCAAACTGAGAGGGCAATGGATAGAGTTGGAAAAGGTGACAGCCTGGAAATTATATTGTTGGATCTATATCTGTACATTCCATTATTTTCCTCTGTTGTAGTAAGTTGAGATTCAGTCACTTCAAGTTGACTTCATGTTGTGTATGTTTGGATGAGATGATGTCTTCCACAAAATATGAGTGATTATACATTCTTGCAGACTGCTTAAGTGATGGGCAAACAATCACAAAGCCAACTCATGCCCAGTGTGTCGTTCAAAGGGGAAAAAGAAAGAGATTATTGTGTTCAGTTTTCTTGTTTGGTAATTTGTTGTGCTGGGCATTTCTTTGGTGCTGCTGCTTTGTCTGTTTAGTGTTTGCACTATGTAATTCCAAAACTAAAACTACAAATTAAGGTCTTGTGCACAGGACTCTTGGAAATAATTCATGCTGAAAACCAGAGGATTTTCCTTGGGATTTTAAAGAATTTATGACAATCTTTTGACCCCTGATCACTATGGCCTTAAAAAGAACAGCATCAGTTTAGTCAACTAGCCTCGTAGGGAACAAATTAGACCTGGAATGTAAAACTGATGCTTTATACTAGTTCAACACATGGTTTTCTATTATGTAATGCTGAAATTTGAAGCATAGTAAGCAAGCATCACATAGTGTTTCACTGGTTGAATTTTGATTGATGTCGTCCTCTAACCTGATCATTTATCCTAAGATGAAGGCAGGTTGTAATTTCTGGTATAAACTGCAAATGTATGCTTGTGATGCCCACCACAACGGCAGATGTTCCAGTAATTTTAGTATCAATTAATATGTCCGTCTTTTGAAAACCACGTACAGTTGTTTGGTTGATCAGGATGATAGACTTAGTAATTGAACCATACCCCACTGATCTTGACTCTTGGCACATCTTGATCTTGAGTCTTGAGTCTTGACTAAGAAATGATTTCCTTGTATGTGTATTGATGATTAAAGAAAGCCTTGCTATTTGGTTTCTGAATATCTGTAGATCTTTTCCTAGATGCCTAGCTTTGTGTGTAAATATGCATTATACTTTTTAACAAGTTCTGTTCTTTATACCAGAGTGCACGGGAGTTTAGTAAGACTCTGAAGCAGGCAGACAAAAGTAGAGAACTGGCGACCTCGACAGGGAGCGGTCGATGATGTCTAGAATGTTGAGGACCATGGTTCAAGTCTCCATTTTCCTGCAATTACAACTGTGTGCTGGCCAGAGTTTGTGAGTGATACTGAGGTGCACAGTCATACTCGGTTCTTCTTCTTCATATGTTTTCATAGGGCAAAACTATATGTATTTGATTAGGTTCTCCATTTTTGGATATCACAGTCTTGCCATGTGTGTGGTAAACTGAAAGAACATGTGGAGTAGATGAGTTAAAAGTGCAGGAATTTTGTTTGATATTATTTTCTATAAATTCAATTGAAAGAAATTTCTGAAGCCTCACCTTCAAGTTTCTAATTTTAGTTCTTTACAGCAAGTAAAATCCTAGTACTAAATATTTATATCACTCCATTTTCAATTAGTTCCTGTTCTTATGTTCTTTTTCCTGTCAAATAGAAAACTTGTGACTTGGACAAATTGAGCGAATCCAAGTCAAGACAAAGTTTGATACTGGTGTGGTGTATATGAATGTCTGTTAACCCTAAGTCAGTGGATTTGTGGTATTAGCTATAAATTCACAGGAGTATATTCAAACTATTAAGCAATTGTCGACAAAGCAATGTAGTTTCTACCAATTAAGGGTAATTAGAACTTGGATGTAGGACCAATTAAGGGTAATTCGAACTTGAATGTAAGGAAACGAGCTTAATGTTTTGATCAGTCTAATTCACGTCTGCAGTATTTTTTTTAAATGTGTAATTTGCATCTGGTATCAAACAAGAACTTCTGTAATCCAACTCACAAATAAAACAAATTCAGTGAGTTAATAAAACATTAAAGTTAATCTCCCTAAATCTATCTTTCTTTTTGTTTATAAAGAAAAAGAAAAAGAGAAATAACATATGTGGTATAGTCGTATGGGAGTTGATCCCCAAACTAACGGACCATCCTGAAGAAGAGAGAGCGACGGACTCAGGGCTCTCTCTCAGTCTCAGCCCAGCCGCCGCAACAATCAACACCAATCTCTCAAACACACAGAGAAATGAGGTGCCCGTACTGCTTAGCCGGGCAAGGCCGGTGCGCGACGACAACGAACTCCCGTCGTTCGATAACGGAGTGCCCGTCGTGTGGTCGTGTGGTGGAAGAGCGCCAATCCCAATTCCACCACCTCTTCCACCTTCGCGCCCAAGACAACCCTCTCTGCCTCGTCACCTCCGACCTCCCCACCCTCCACCACCAGGCCCAACCCAACAACGCCGCCGCCGACGACGACGACCCGTTCGAGCCCACCGGATTCATCACCGCCTTCTCTACCTGGTCCCTGGAGCCCAACCCGCTCTTCCTCCGCTCCTCTCTCTCCTTCTCCGGCCACCTCGCCGAGCTCGAGCGCACCCTCGAATCCACCTCCTCTTCTTCTTCTTCATCCCCGTCGTCTTCCACCGTTGTGGTCGATAATCTCAGGGCCTACATGCAAATCATCGATGTCGCTTCGATCCTGGGCTTGGAATACGACATCTCAGACCACGCGTTTCAGCTCTTCAGGGACTGTTGCTCCACTACTTGCTTGAGGAATCGCAGCGTTGAAGCTCTCGCTACTGCTGCTCTTGTGCAGGCCATCAGAGAAGCCCAAGAGCCCAGAACCCTCCAGGTACATACATACATACACTGATTAAAGCTAATCGGCTTACTTCTAAGTTTTCACCTTTTCAGTTATAATGCTAATTGGGTTTGTAATTGTATTTCTTGTAAGTTAATTTCTGATTAAAAAGTGTGGATTTTGATTATGTGTGGAAGTAAAGTGATTAACCTATTGGGTTGTGAGTTTTGTGGCTGTTCTTTCCAGTTTCTGGAGCTTCTGTGACTTGGCATTTGGTTTTGTATTGCAGGAAATCTCAATTGCAGCCAATGTGCCCCAGAAGGAAATTGGTAAGTACATCAAGATACTTGGAGAAGCACTGCAACTTAGTCAGCCCATCAACAGCAACTCCATATCCGTCCATATGCCGCGGTTTTGCACTCTCCTCCAGCTCAATAAATCTGCTCAGGTACCTTTTTGTTTTGTTGCAGAGTGCACTACTTGAACTACTCATTACATTAACATACTTAGATCAAGTCTTTTGCCTGCATAAGCCTGATGATGTACAATCAGATGATTATTAAAAGGAAAGAAATATGGCATGGGATTTGCAATCCAAAATTCTTTAGGGAAATCCTATTAATTAGGACTAAGAAAGGTTTCAAACTAGATTTAGGAGTTGGGGAACTGTGAACCCAAATAGACATAGAGTTAAAAGTTGTGGAAAGTTTATCTCACAAGAACTGGTGAAAGCAATTTTTGGTAGATTCTATCATTTTGATCTTCCAGTTTCCATGTAATTGAAACCCAAATGGAGGCACATTTTTAAGGAACCTTGCTAATGACATTTTAGTTTCTTAACCACCATCACAATTCACAATGTGTCTGATGAGTTTCTTATTTGTGTCATTGGCATCTTGCAATATCTTCAATATTTAGACTATGGAATGAGGTTTATGTAATCGTTTACTCACAGGGTTTCCTTTAGTGACTTAAATTGTTGTGTTCTTTGCTGACGGTATTGAACTTGAATTTTCCTCCTGATCAAGTCTGACCATGATTCACATACTTTCTTGTAGAAACTGGCAACTCACATTGGAGAGGTTGTCATAAACAAATGCTTCTGCACTCGTAGGAACCCCATTAGCATCTCCGCAGCTGCAATATATTTAGCCTGCCAGCTTGAAGACAAGCGAAAAACTCAGGCAGAGATTTGTAAGGTGACTGGTCTTACTGAAGTCACTCTCCGGAAAGTTTACAAGGAGCTGTTGGAGAATTGGGATGACTTGCTCCCATCTAATTATACTCCAGCCGTTCCTCCAGAAAGAGCATTCCCTACCACTGTAATTGCTTCAGGCCGTTCTTCAACATCTAAAGTTGATTTAGTTGAAATACCAGTTTATTTGGAGAGAGAGAAGCTGCCTGAAATAAAACCTAACAAACCAAATGAGGGATTAGACATGAATGTTCCGGCCATAGGTAAAGAGGAGTTTGAGTTTAAAGGTAATTCTCGAGGTGCGCAAACCACTGTTTTGAATCAATCAACAACTTTCTGGCAACAGCAGGTTCCATATGGTACTTCTGGTTTAAGGACAGCAGGAAAGAACTCTCATAATGGCACCGAAGGAATGGACATCGATGAGCCGCAACGTAACCAGCAGCCTAACCAACAGTTTGAGCAGAAGATGGGTATGGACTCAAACGGTCTTACTAGTACACGAAAGCCAACTCAAATTTTGAGCCCCCCAGCTTCAGGTGCATGCTCAGTTACCAGGCAGTTTCGGTGCCCTCCACCGTCATCAGGTTCTTCTCCAAATGTTTTGTATGTGGTGCCACCAAAGCTGACACCAGGTTATACTGAACTTAGAGGTAGCGGGAGTCAAAATGGAAGTGAAAATGCCAAACAGAGTGGGGATGCCTAGTGGTATGACTTTTGTATATAGAGACCTTACAAAATGTATCTTCCTTGTCACTACCGATGTATTTCTTCTGTATTTTGGTGACAAATGCGTAGCCTAGTTACTTGTTTAAGGTTTGAACAGAGTTTGATTATTTTTTGGGTTATAGGAGTTGTAGAATTACAGAATTCACCGATGTATTTCTTCTGTATTTTGGTGACAAATGCGTAGCCTAGTTACTTGTTTAAGGTTTGAACACAGTTTGATTATTTTTTGGGTTATAGGAGTTGTAGAATTACAGAATTCATTGGGGGAGGGAGAATCGAACATATCGAACCTAAAAAACTTAAAACTTTGAGTGCATAGGTAAATACTCTCAACACTGGGCTACAAATTGCATTTTAATTTTCCTTTTTGTGTGTGTTTGGTTTCAGTCCCAACAACAAATCCACAGTTTTACATTTTTATTTTCATCCCTCCCTTTCAATGTAAAAAAGAAAGAAAAAAAGAAAAAGAAAAGAGATATTTATGTATAGAAGGTAAAAAGTGTGGTTCATAGTATACCACGGGACAAACCAGCTAAACGAGCAAAGAAAGCATGTCGTAAATAAAATAGACGGTAAAACAAAAAGCAGCGTCGCAGTTACGACATGCAACGTAAGTCGTCCGTCAGGAACAATCGTGGCAATCACGTAATTTAGTGAAATCGTATAGGCATATATATAACCGCCCCGATATTTCCACAACAGTGACGTGTCTTTCATGCGAAGCCGAAATCTTCTCTCTCTCACTTTCTCTCTCTATCTCCCCATACAAACAAACACAACAAACCACAATCTTAACCTTCCATTCGTCCATGTCACCGATCCGCGCCTTGTATATCCAACGGTCTGAAATCCTTCAATAATTCACACAGCCTAAACCATACGGATAGGTTCAGCCCCCCGAACCCTAACCACGGAACCCGAAGACTTACGAGCCCCCTCTAGAGGTTTATCCCGATTCACACACTCGCCCAATACCAATAGGAGAGAGAGAGAGAGGGAAGAGAGAGAAAGAGAGAGGAATTCCAATTTCATTTTAGGTCCTTTTCTTGTTTTTGCTCCTCAAGCATTTCCTACTTGCAGAAGAGCGTCCGTACATCTGAACGGTTTAGGGTTTTAAAGCGGTTCAGAGAAAAACGATTTGAATTCGTGTCGTTTTGATCTTGAATTGGGGATACGGCTAAGGTTAGAGTTTCTATGTCATTTATGTTCTCCCCTCTCTGGGATTGAAATATTGAAGCTCCGTTGCTTGTTTACAAAATACCAAAAAAAGAAAAAAAAATAGCGATAAATTTTAGTTTTGTTCTTTGTATGAGATAAAATAAGGTTTCGAATTTGATGGACGAGATCTGGGAGCGAGCCGTTGAGACAGCGCTAGAGGGCCAGAGCGACCACGCCGCGGCTCGAGCCCTAACCCTAGACGGCGCCGTTAAGTGCGTCCAGGGTCGTCTACCTCCTCCGAGTCTTCTAGAGAAGTTTCAGAACCTTCAGCATCTCTCGATTGCAAACGTGGGCGTTTCGTCCCTGGAGCAGTTCCCGAGGCTCCGAAATCTCCAGAAGCTAATCCTCTCGGATAATCGAATCGCTGGAGGCCTTGAATTTCTCGTAGAAGCCGGTCTCGACTCGCTGAGAGACCTCGACCTCTCGAACAATCGGATTCAGCATGTCGAAGATCTCGCGCCGCTCGCGCAGCTCAAGCTGGTGTCCCTTGATCTGTATGAGTGTCCGGTCACTCACGTCAAGGATTATCGATCTAGGGTGTTTGGATTGATCAAGTCGTTGAAGTATTTGGATAAGATGGACGCGGAGGAGAACGAGAGGCCGGAATCTGATGACGAGGAGGACGACGAAGATGACGAGGAGGATGATCCTGGGAGCGGTGAAATCGATGGTGAGGATCGGCCATTTAGGATGACCAATGGCCACAGTGAGGCGGTTGAAGGTGTTGTTGATGTTGATGAGGATGACGAGAGTGATGCAGACGAGGAAGAGACTGTGACTGCGACGAGGGTGAATGGACAAAATCACCAGACAGCAAATGGATTCCGGGTTGCTGCTGTGGCTGGTGAAGAGGGAGATGAGGATGAGGAGGGAGACGATGATGAAGAGAATGATTCTGGTGAAGAAATCGATGAAGAGGATGTTGATGATGACGATGTGGTGGAGGTTCAAGAGATTGAGGATAGTGACGATGAGGAAGATGGGGTTGAGTATGATGAGGAGGATGATGACGACGATGATGAAGATGACGAGGAAGAGGAGGTGGACAATGATGAAGGGGATCTTGCAGAGCCGGAGAGTACAGGGAGGTTGACGAGCACGGAAGGAGAGATTGATGGACATGAACAAGGGGAGGATGATGCAGATGAGGATGATAATGGAGAGACCGGGGAGGAAGAGCAGTTAGTAGAAGAGGATGGGGAATTTGAAGATGAAGATGGTGAGGAAGAGGTGAGGAGTCCCTTGCAAGAACATTTTTTATATACTAATATTTGGTTGTCTGCATAAATATTTATTGTTTGCTATAATATTATTTGCTTATTATTTTGTAGCAGTGTTTTAACTGTTTATGGCTGATGTTCTTTTAGATCACTGGAGAGGAGAGACATGGCTGCTGTTGGTTTTCTGCATATGGGTCGAAATTGGTTTTCTGCATATGTCTTTGTGTATATGTTGATAGGTTGTATAGGTTTAGGAGGATGATTCTTTGGAGTGTCTTCTGCAGTACTGTGAAATAATGTTTGTGCTTTTCCATGGTTACATGTGGTGTATAGTATGTCTTGAAAATTTTGAACAATTATAGGTTAAGGTTGTTGAACCTTGTTCTTAGCTAATTGTTTTAGTTTTGTAGTTTTGGAAGCTTTTTGAAAATCAGATTTCTGTTTTGGCAACAGTTGTGTAGTGATAAGGTAAATGTTAGAATATGCCTTTTAAAACCCCGCACTTTTATTCTATTTTGTTGCTAGACCTTTTTGTTGTTATTGTTGTCGTTAGAAAACTTTTATTTGATGCCTTCTGATGTATCTTGTAATACCAGTGTTGCTGGAATGTGTATTATTTGCTGTTGACTCTTCAGTGTTTATATCTTTGTGGGAAAAGAAATTGGAGGTGTCAAGAAAAAATTTGAAGGTCCTTTTTTACTGATTGCTGTTATCTAGTACCTGAATTTGTTGATTTGATTGTCAATTGCCTTCTTATGTCCGATTACATGATTTAGAGTGTTCTTGAAAGATTTTCTGTGAGTGTCTCAAGCTTTTTCCTGTAATATTTGGCGCTCATGGTTCTTAAAAGTAGTATTCTTATAGGCTGGCACTTTCCTGTGAAAGACTGGTTGGTTGTCCAAGGGTGGTGGATTGTTGGTCTTTGATAAATTGGCTGTTTATTCAAAGCAGTGTCTGTTTTTAGTGTGTTATAAATGAAAGTTGCACTTTTTTTTAATCGTGCTGCAATTGTATGATGATTTGTTTCCTGTCAATTTGGCTGTTTTTTCAGTACTATTACTATCATTATTATTGATTTTATGATTACTTAAATTTGTCAACTTACGGAAACATGATTGGATGGCAGGAAGAGGACTATGGTGCAGGTTACTTAGTTCAACCCGTGGCACAGGCTGAGGAAGAGGATGCTGGTGGCAGTGACATGGATGCAGGAAATGAAGAAGGTGATGGCGAAGAGGAGGAAGTTGAAGACGATGAAGATGATGAAGTTCAGGTGTTGCCGCCCCCTTCTTCTTCTTCTTCTCAAATGAAGAGGAAGAGAGATGAAGCTGCAGATTCGGATGACAATGGTGAGGACGATGAGGAGGACGACGATGTTGTCGAGTACAGCAAGTCTTCAAAGAAGCATCGTTGACAGTCAGTAAATCTGTCGATGTTTATGTTTTGTTGATGCTGCCCTTTTTCTAGTTTGGAAAACAGAGAACCTCAGATTAGATTAGATTGGTTGGTAGAACTGTTAGTGATTTTCCCTGATCTTGGACAAGCATATATATATAATGTTTTAAGGAAAAAGAAGGGGTTTGGATGCAATGTTTTTCAAGTTCAAAAAGTCGTTAGTAATTTATCCCCACTTTGGATCTCTCACATAGCCGTTGCTGTATGTTATTCAAATGACAGTTATGCGCGGCTGTAGTTGGGGAAGAGTCAGTTTCAAAAGGGGGTGAGAGCATGTGGAGGGAAAAAGAAACTTGAAAATTGTCATTGTTTTTGGCTTCAGTTTTTTGTCCAACCAGTTTTTTGGAAAAAATGGGGGCATGTAAAAACGCTTGTAGATAGTTCAATTCAATCAAGTTTGGCTTCGAGTCTTATTTGCTCTGCTTTTTTATGTTATTCAGCAGGTGACGTGTAAATTCTGTTTATCTTTATATTATTGGGTGTCTAATATACCAGGTGGCAGTGATCGTGGGGTAAATGGTGCCCATGTGACATGGGACCTAAGGCGTCGATCTCTGATAGAAGAGTGCAACAAAAGATGGTAGATTTGGTTATAGAGGATTTTTACCCTAGTGTTGCCTACTAGTAAAGGACTTGGTTTCAATTGGACAGTTTTTAAATAAGCATTCATTACAAAATAAAGTATGTTTTATTTGCATGCATGAGCTAACTCGCTTTGAAGCTCAAGCTCAACTTGTAGACGGCTTTACCGTCAAAAGCAGCTCCGCTGAGCCAAAAGTTCAAGCATTTCCTTACATGCGGCTCCCATTTCACGCTAGCTTTTTGGTGCGCTGAAACAAGCTAGTAATTACACAGAAGAATTTTATTTCTCTCTTTTTTCTTTTCTTTTCTTTTCTTTTCTTTTGGCCATATAAAAGAAAAGAGTGGTTGACGGGGACACTTTTATGATAATAAAATAATCAAATTGGTTGGTCTTAAATTGAATTGACTCTATGGTGCTCAACTGTAAATACATCAAACTGGTTCCAACGTGTGAATTCAGCAAACTAGAAACAAACCCTCTCTCTCTCTCTCTCTCTCTCTCAACGATGTTGCTAGTTTCTCCAGCATCCACCTCCCTATTATCAAACCCACTTCAAAGCATCCATGCCGCATACAAAACAACAACCAGATTGCAAGCCCCAGCCAAGGTCTTAGCCATGGCAAAGCAAACCAGCGACGACAGCAGCAGCAGCACCATTGCAGAGAAAGCAGCCATAGCAGGAGGCCTAGTCTCCACCCCAGTGATTGGCTGGTCACTCTACACCCTCAAAACAACCGGCTGCGGCCTGCCGCCCGGACCCGGTGGTTCCATCGGTGCCCTTGAAGGCGTGAGCTATTTGGCTGTCCTGGGAATTGTAGGGTGGTCCTTGTACACCAAGACCAAAACTGGCTCTGGCCTCCCTAATGGCCCTTTTGGCCTTTTGGGTGCTGTTGAAGGTCTCTCTTACTTGTCTTTGCTCTCCATTTTGGTGGTGTTTGGGCTCCAGTTTTTTCAGCAGGGCTCCATTCCAGGACCCCTCCCCAGTGACCAGTGCTTTGGATGATGTGGGATTATTGGCCACCACAATTCTATCTTGTGTTTGTGGACATGGTTTGCTCCAATTAATTTGTCCTGCTTTTCAAGTACTAGTACAATGTTAATGTGTATCTATAAGAAATTCCATGACAATGTTCTTCCAAATTTTTCCTTCTTCTTTGATCTTTTAACCATTTCAATGTCGCCAACTTCAATTTTCCTTGGTTTATTGTGTATGTAACAAGATTATTCTGGTACTAATTTAGGGTCGAATCCAATTAATTCTATTATTTCAATGGTGTTTTCACAATTTTTAATCATCTTGCTCCTAAGATGTATGTGATGATGTATGCCGAAAGACAGAGAACACATGAAGAAGAGATGATGAGCAGAAATAACCACCATCTATTTAACATTTTGAGTTCGGTTTTTCACTAAATAGTGTTACCAAATCACCGATGTTATAACACATATTGTAACACGTAAATTAATAACATCACGTAAAGATAACACAAAATTATTTTCGAGATGCAAGTAAGCCCACCAGAAATTAAAGTCTCAAATATATTTGTCTACAACACACTTTAAATCCCAACTTCCTACCTATCTTTTTTCCCCAGTTGAAGAGATAAACACCAAGAAAAAGGTAATCATCTATTCAAGTAATTTCCTTATATAAACGAATGGTAATTTGTTTATAAAAGTCAGTCGCGGATCCTCATTTCCTTTATGTATATATTAATAGTAATATCGTTACACAAATCAGCTTTCATGTAATTTCCAAGCATTTGAGGCTAATGAAATCTTTTCATTTCAAAGCATTGCCAAACAAAAACTTGAAGTTGCCACAGTACGAAAATGTAACTAAAGAAAACTATCCATGAAAAGCATGATAAGACTATGATTTCTATTAATGATAAGGTCAAAATAATATTTTTCTCAATTTTTTTCCCTTGTTAAGCCCTATTTGACTTGCTTATTGCTTATTGAATTCCAAATTCTAGAGTAAAGATATGAGGTTTTCATGAGCCTCGAGCAATTCATAAATTCAGAAAAATTAGACAAGTTATGCGGATTTGTTCCCTCAGTATACCAGTGTAGCTCTGCCTAACAACACCAGGTGTTACAGTCTGCTCATGTTATAACACGTTTATTTTTGTTGGTGTTACAGTAAAACACAATAATTACTCCGAATCCCAAATCGGAATAGAAATATTGTTCTATTCCAGAATAGAACATAAGTCTTCTTGGAACCAAACAGCCGCGCTATTGACTGAGTCCACTAAGTCAAGCTGAGTCCTACTTTACCACAAATAGAGGGCCCCAAAAACCCCAAGCCGAGTCCAAAAAGACTTTTCTCCAATATCTTCGTCTCGATCAAGACCCCCTCTCTCTCTCTCTCTCTCTCTCTCCTCGACGATTTCACAAACGACGCAATCCGATTGGTACGATCGCTCACTCACTCACAGTTCTACTGTTTTCTCTCACTTTGATTTCCTTTTAATCTTCGTTTTGATCATTAATTGAGGTTTTTAATCATGATTAGCTCTCCGCAAATTTTTACATGAGTTTTGCATGCTTCCAGTTTGTTCACATTTTGTGATGAATTGTTTTTCGGTTTTTATAGTCTGATTTTCGCTGGCTGCCTCTTGATTGTGTTAGAGTTGCCTTGGATGTTTTCGTTACTGTTATGGATCTGTTTAGTTGCTTAGAAAATTTAGGCTGAAGAAATGAAAGGGGCTTTTTGAGTTGGTCTATGCTCTCAGTTCTTTTTTGGGTAGAAAATAGAAACAGTGCAAGCTTAAGAAGTTATGTTAAAAATGTGGGTTGTTTATTTATTCTTGTTAAGATTCCATATTCTCTGTGCAAGTTGATTTTGGAGAGTTCATAAGATTGTGGAATATCGTCCTTGAATATTCTCTGAGATCCTGAACTGTGTTTTCATCATGTAATTTTAATTAGACGAATATGCAGAAGCCAATAGTGATTGGTGATTGTTGGTCATAAGAAGAAATTGGTTGCTTTCCTTGGGTGTAGTATTTAGAATTGATTATGAGTTAAACTATCCTTTTACCTAAAATGTAAAATTTGTATTTGTATCTAGCGCGGTGCTGTGTCAAATATGGAAAACTTGTGACATACAATAGTCTTCAAATACTAGACAAATTCAAAGATCTGATCAATGTATCACAAAACAAATCTACAATGAAACAAACCAGCAGTGACGTCTCTGTCTCAGATGTGTTGGCTTGTGTCAACTGTCTCTTTTACTTTATTGTACTTCAGATGTCTTACCTTTCTTTCTTAAGTTTTGAATATTTGATTGCTTTTGAAGGAGTAGAAGATTTAATTGAGGGCATAATGGATCGAGGAAGGAGAGCAAATCAGGTACTAGTAAACAAAAACAGTAAGATATACATGGACCTCAAGGACATCGTTAGGGATCATGCCCTCCCATATCTTCCTGCTAAATCACTTTTCAGGTTCACTGGAGTTTGTAGGGACTGGAAGCTCGACATCCTAACTCCTTTCTTTGCCCACAAGCAGTCGAATTGTTTTTCTGATATCTCGGGCTTCTTTTATCAATCCAGAGCAGACCCACCTTCATTCATATCTCTTGACCGCAATGCATATGGTGTTCCAGACCCATGTCTGAAGTTCTTGCCTGAGCCAGTTGACATAAGGACTTCTTCCAATGGATTACTTTGCTGCCAGGGTCGTGATGGCTACAAGGCTTATTACATATGCAATCCTGTTACTAAGAAGTGGAAAAAACTTCCTAAGGCAAATGCTGATCATGGATCTGAACCTGCTATTGTTCTCATCTTTGAACCATCTTTGCTGAACTTTGTGGCCGAGTACAAGCTAGTATGTGCTTTTCCATCCGTTGATTTTGACAATGGATATGAATTTGAGATTTATTCCTCCAAGGAGGGGTCTTGGAGAGTTTCTGGTGAGATTTACTTTGGCAATAAAACTCTCGTGCCAAGATCCGGTGTTCATGTGAACGACATAGTTTATTGGCAGGCAATGGGCTCTCAGATTCTTGTTTTTGACCTGAAGATGGAGCGCACACAACTCCTCTATGGCGATTTTTACGGCACGGGAGGATGTGCGGCCCTGGGTCTGATGGATGGAAAGCTTTGTTTGACAAAGGCTCAGTCTTCAGGATTAACGGTGAATGTATTGTCTAACGCCTACACAAACACAATGGAGATGAACAGCAAGGCCAGGACATGGAAAACGAAACATCAGATCACTCTATCACCTTCACCCTTCGCTCCGGCTGCTGATCGCTTGTCTAGTAATATAATGTTTGCCAGTGGAAATGTGGTCTTGTTTCGCAGTGGCGGAAAACTCTATTCGTACAACCTGAAGACTAAAGAAACTCAATGTGTGGGTGATGAATTTGATTACGATGCGAGGATTGTCTCTCATGTGAACAGTCTTGTGGAGATCTAGCTGGCCTCTCTTGTGCCTTATTTTGCGGTTGTGCAACCATGAAGAAAATAACACTGGGTAGTTTTTATTAGATGGTTGTGTTTTGAACTAATTAGTAAAGTCTCTCCATTTATGCTTGCTTAGAGCTTGTGTACATGGCCATCGAATTGTCCATGAGTCAACAGTCAACTGCTTATTTCTTCTTATTGGCTTCCTTTGTAGACCTGCTGCTTTACCTCATATGATATTATTGGGTTTATAATTATATAGAGATGAATGGATAAATCCTTGACCCAAAACAAACAAACAAAAAGGTGGATAAAACCTTGATGCGTCATGATTTTGTGTTTTTAATTATTATTATTTTTATGAAAGATCATGATTGTTCATGAAGCGTAAAGCCAGTAATCATTAGCAGAGCTAAAACCTAGTAATTTTGTACGCATTTAAAGCTAATTTGAACCATAATTATTTAGAAATTAATACTATTTATTTAGCTTCCTATTTACTTCCTTCAAAATGGGATGCAATTCCAAAAAATTAGGCTACGAGATTATTGTGGAGAAAAACTTGGATTAGTAATTATCTGTAAGTTTATTAATCACTTGGATTATGGAGAAGACTTGGTTGGAATCTAAAATCCAATATACAAGTTCAACAACTCGGTGCGAATCCCTTCACAAGCTTCAAACTTAAAACTTAAGCAACCTCTGACCTCGTCAAGACCTTGTTTCTCCGCCAACAGATCAATCTGAGGCGTACACGTGTCCAGAGAAACCCGACATAAACCATTGGAATTCCACGTGTCAAGAAAACCCCCCGATACAAACAAACCATACGGCCTCGTTCGTGACTTCAAACTGCTCTCTCACTCTATAGACTTTTCAGTTCTAAGTCCTCTCTCTCTCTCTCTCTCTCTCTCTCTCTCTCTCTGTTGCGTTCATCGCTGCGTTCGATCACCGGCTTGCTCGACTCTCAGGTCTTCGAAGGTACGCTTCTTGCTATTGCTTCGTTGCTTTCTCTTTTGCCGAGATGAAAAAGCCCAACTCATTGGCAGAGTGCTCTTTTTTTTGTTTGGGTTTTTGTGGAAAAATCTTGAATCTTTATGGCTTGTCATTTTACATGCATGAGTCGGTTTTTTTTGGGGTTGCTTTCGATCGTTTCTAAGGGTTTTACTGTCTCTGCTTTATGGGTTTTGTTTGATCATTGAATGGTTTATCTGTGTGTTTTGGATTTCGTAATTTAGAGAAAGCTCTCTGCTTTCGCTCTGTCTTTTATCCAATTTTCATGTTTTTATCTATGTTTTGATTTGTTTGGCTGCTGAGAAACCCAAAGAAACTGAAAGTATACTGGGACTTGATGCCATTGCGCTTAGGGTTTGAATTTGAATTTCGAATAAAAATACCATTTGTTTCTACGAAAACAAGAAATGTATTTTGGATTTTTCTTTATGGGGTTTTATTATTTTTCTTCTTCTTCTTTCCAAACCCAGAATTTTAGAATTTTTAGAATTTTTAGAATTAGGATATAAGAACACCTTATTGAAGCAATCGAACCAAGGACTTGGGGTTTTTGTTATGATCTGATTTTGTTTTGTTTCTTTTGTGCCAAGCAACCTTAATTGAATACTAGGCTTTAATTTAGCTGCTGTTTAAACAGTTGTTCCCTCGTATTTGGCAGCAAAATTGTTCCGTGGTTCAAAGAAGCTTATGTTGCTTTCGTCTTGTTTAAAAGTCCTGATCTGTTATGGGTCTTGATGTTTGGGAAATTCAGTTATCTTCGAATGGTTATTAAATGTGTTCTAACCAACTTGATGTCATTGTGCAGTGGTGGTGAATTCTGAGGATTATATACCATGGATAATGATAAAGATGTGGGCAGTGACTCTGACTCATCTTATGTCGTTGTGAGCGATAACACTTCTGCGGGTAGTGATTCTGAAAATTATGTAATTTTGGGTGATGAAAGTTATGTGGCTACTGCTTCTGTAGAAAATCTATGTGATGTAACCAAGCAACAATTGAAGATTGTGGATACTGACATTTCTGTGGGTACGGATTCTGAGGAAGATCTATCTGATGAAAACAAACAACAGTTGAAGAATGTAGATAAAGACAGTTATATGGATACTGATTCTGAAGGATATCTATATGATGAAAGCGAACCACAGATGAAGAATGTGAATAATGACTGTTATTTGGGTTCTGATTATGAAGAAGATATATTTGATGAAAGCGAACCACAGATGAAGAATGTGGATAATGACAGTTATTTGGGCACTAATTCTGAAGAAGATCTATCTGATGGAAGTGGAGAAGTGTTGAAGATTGAGGATAATGGCAATTATGTGGGTACCGTAGTCCCTGTGCCTCGGTCGAGGATAAAGCGTTATTCTTTCAAGGTATGACATTTTTGTTTGGTCCTAGTGTTTGGTAGTGGCCGTATTATATGTGAGATGAAGTTTTCATACTTTTATATTGCTCTGTTACTGTTTTGGTTAATTGATTGCGTATGATATTAAGGGTTAGTTCTATCCTAAACAAGCATTCCTGGCTCCTGCAGATAGAACCAAATTAAGCAAACTGATAAGGTCCTATCCCCAGATTTCCATGTTTGTTTTGTTTATTGATGAATTGGAGGCTGTCATTGTTCATGTGATTAAATGTTCAAGTATTTTGTATCTTTGTTTCTTTTTCCTTGATTTGCATCTTGATGAACCTTTTAATGTGCAGTTTCACACATATTCATATAAAAGAATTGGTCATATAGATGATTGTCCTGAAGACAGAAAGCATATTAAGAAAATGAACATCAATGATGCTGCAATGGAGTATGTTCTTCCTTTCCTCCCTGCCAAAATACTTTGCAGGTTGAGAACTGTTAGCAAACAATGGGATCAGTGGATTGGTAGTGCTTTCTTCAGTCACAAGCAAACTTACTACTTCAGGGACATCTCTGGTCTATTTTGTCAACCCTCTGGTGATTATCCTTTCTTCATCTCACTTGATCGTGATGCTTATGGCGTTCCCAGTTCTTCCCTCACTTTCTTGCCTAAACCAGTTACTGTAAGAACCACTTGCAAAGGTCTGCTATGCTGTCAAACCTGCGATGGAGAAGATACCTACTATATCTGCAACCCTCTGAACAAGCAATGGAAAGAGCTTCCCAAGCCAGGCTACTATCATGGGCCTGAATCTTTCCTGGCACTAGCCTTTGAGCCTTCTGTGCTTGATTTTGAAGCAAAATTTGAACTTGTCTGTGCCTTCTCTGTACCTGGTCATACGGGTGTCTATTTTGATATATTTTCTTCAAGGTCCAACTCTTGGGAACTGTCTGACGCAGTATGCTTTGAGCTCAATGCTTTGGAGCTGAGTGGGAATGGGCTCTTTTTGAAGGGTGTTGTCTTTTGGGAAACATCAACTGGGCACATTCTGGCTTTTGATTTGAAGGAGAAGCAATATGGTATGATGCTACTCCCTCTCGGCAGCGGACCACAAGGTGTTATGACAGAGATGAATGGGGAGCTGTGCTACATTCTGCCTTGTGAAGATGACGACGGTCAGTACACCTTGGAAATCTATGGCGATATGTGCATGAACCTGAAGCGCAGGATCCATCTCATCGGTGAGGTTTTCAACCATGTTACTGAAGGGTTGAGGGCTTTGGCTTGTGTGAATGATGATGCGGTGGTAATTCTTCTTGGAAGGTACCTGATTGCTTATCATGTGAAAGCAGGGGAGATTGAAACACTAAGAACTGTCTGGACCAATGCTGGATATGAAAGGTTTCTTCCATACGTGAACAGCCTTGTGGCGATTTAGTTGGTAAAAGTTTTTGTTAGGTGGTTATGTTTGGAACTAAGTGGTAAAGTTATGTTTCGTCCCAAAAAAAAAGGTAAAAGTTATGTTTAATATTAGGCTTCTGTCGGTGGCGATGTAATTTCCTTTTGAGTTACTTCTCAACTGCTTCGTTGGCTTTGTGTAGACCAGGTGCTTTGGTGCATCGTATGGTATTATTGGGTTTATAATAAATAATATTGGAGTGGATGCAACCTTTTCTTATTTGAGTTCCATTCCATGTATGCACTTTGTGCCTATGATATTCCATTTAGCTTTGGTTGTATAATGCAACTTGACGCAACTTGAAAAGAAAACCCACTAGACAGAAAGAAAAAAACAAGACATTTCACATTTGTATTGACTTGACCCCATACCAAAAAAGATCCAAAAGGAAAATGACCGACCCAAAATGAAAATGATGGCTCATCTTGGAATCATCATTTCTCGACTTTATGGTTCGAGTACAAGCTTGTCACTTTCTGCATTCCTATTTCGTTCATTTTGACGATGCATGTGAACACAAAGGTAGCAAGAGAAAAACCCAATAAGTTGTTTATTATTTCTTTGATACAAGCGAGATTGGGAAGGAGACAATCGAATCTAAGACCTCAAATGCAATGTTAAATGTTCTTAATCACTTGAGCTACAAATCCCTTATTTCTTCAATATAAACGAAAACAAAATGATTTGTAGCTCAAATAGTTTAGTGCAATTACTCTTACACATGCCGCATGTATAAATAAACTTGTAGCTCACGTCACCCTTGATATCCGCATTGCTAAGTATTCGCAGCTAGGCCAATACAAGTCAGCCACGTGTTCAAACACCATTGGAAGCCGATACAAGCCCTATTTATGTGCAAATAAACTTGTAGCTCACGTCACCCTTGATATCCACATTGTAAGTATTCTCAGCTAGGCCAATATAAGTCAGCCACGTGTTCAAACACCATTGGAAGCCGATACAAGCCCTATTTATGTGCAGAGGAGTAAAGTACCATGTACGTCATTTTAACTGCACTCAACCGTGAACACAGAGCCTCTCTCTCTCTCTCTCTCTCTCTCTCTCTCGCGCGCGCGCGCGCGCTCTCTCGCGTTTAAGTTCAACCCAGCGTTTGATCTCCGGCGGTCTCTTAGGGCTACGACGGTAAGCTTCTCGTAGTTTTCTTTTTCAGGGTTTGATTAAAGCGTTTCGAAATTGCCGATACGCACATTGCTTATTTTATTGGAAATGCAAAACCCAACCCATCGGCAGAGTGCTTCTCTGTTCTTTTTTCCTTTTCTTGTCGAACACTCTTGAATCTATAATGCATTTCGTTTCACTTTCATGAGTGGGTTTTGTAAGAGTGTCAATTTCTCTGTTTTATGAGGTTTGTATGTTTTGGGTTTCTTGACAGACCGCTCTCTGTTTTCGTTCTGTTTCTTTTTTTCTTTTTCTTTCAAGTTTCTTATTTCTATTACCATTTTGGTTTGTTTGGTTACTGAGAAAGCCAAGGAAAAAGAAGGAAAACTCGGTCTCTAAGACATTGTCATTGTGTTTTGGGTTTGAATTTTATTTTTGGGAAAATTGCCAACTTGTACTAAGAAAACAAGAAACCCACTTCGGATGTTACTGATGGGGCTTTTGTTTCTTTCTCCTAATGGATTTTGGGTTTGAATTTGATTTTTGGAAATGACCCATTTTACGAAGAAAGAAAAAACCCCATTTCGGATTGTTCTTTATAGGTTTTTGTTTCTTTTCATTCAAGATCGTAAATTATGGAAATGAAGATATCAAAATTTTCATTTCTGATTCTCCATACCTTATTGAAGCAATCAACAGAGCAGTAGACATTTAAATCTTCGTTGATTTCGGTAAGATCTCATTTTGTTATGTAGTTTGGTTAATTTCTTTTGCACCAAGCAACCGCAATTGAATGATCTAATTCTTTGAAATTTGATTTTGTTATGTCTCTTTTTAGACAGAAATGGCGACTTCTGTGGACAGTAAGGAGCATAGTACTGGGAATTCTGAAGAAGGTGATCTATCTGATGACAGTGGACAAGAATATCCACCATCTCCGGTTCATGAGGTGAAGGTTGTGGATAGCTATGATGTGGTATGCCATTGGTAGATTTGACGCTTTTATTTTTAGATTTTTAATTTGTACTTAATAAAATAAATGGATGGTTGATAATTGTTGGTAGTTTGGCTTAAATTGTATTATGTGTGTCTGTGAGCTCTAAGAGAGCTCCAATGGGTATCTCCAGACCCTCAAGAATTACGCCGAACAGGTTGTTTATGCTTCTCTGCATTGTGTTCCCAATAGAAAATTATAAAAAAGAGTCATTCATGTAAAAGTGGGTCGCCAGATGAGTTTATGTGACTCGACGTTGCAATTATTTTTGGCAGATTTTCCTTTCATTTGCTTGGCGGTGCTTCTGTTATTTGTGCAGTATTGATAATCATTTTGCTTGAAGTTCTACATGTTGGAAACCATTTTGCTCCCCTTGTCTCTCTCTCTCTCTCTCTCTCTACTAATATTTTTATAATTTCATCATCAGTAATCTGCTTTTCCTCTGACCAAATTTTTGTTTTTGTTTTTCTATGGCAGTTTCACGGATCTCCAAATGACAGAAAAAGGATTGCTCTTGTTGTTGACTACTCTGAATTTCCTGGACCCAAAAGGTTCAAGCAGAACATAGAGATCAAAGATGTTGTAACAGAGCATGTTCTTCCTTTCCTTCCTGCCAAATCACTTTTCAGGTTCAGAGCTGTTAGCAAAGAGTGGGATGAGTTGATTACCAGTCCTTTTTTCATTCACCAGCAATCTCATCACTTCCGGGACATCTCTGGTCTGTTTTGTCAACTCCCTGGTGATGCGCCTTTCTTCGTGTCTCTTAATGGTGATGCTTATGGCGTTCCCAGTCCTTCCCTCAGTTTCTTGCCTGAACCAGTTACTGTCAGAACCAGTTGCAATGGTCTGCTCTGCTGCCAAAGCTGCAATGGAGAAAATACCTACTATATTTGCAACCCTGCTACCAGGGAATGGAGAGCGCTTCCCAAGTCAAACTTGTATCATGGCCCTGAACCAGCCCTAGCTCTAGCCTTTGAGCCTTCTGTCCTGAACTTTGCAGCACATTATCAACTTATTTGTGCTTTCTCTTTAACTGATCATCCGGTTATCTGTTTCGAAATATTCTCTTCGAGGTCATCCTCATGGAGACTTGCTGACACAGAATGCTGTGAGCTAAATGCTTCGAAGCTGAATGGAGATGGGCTCTTTATGAAGGGTGTAGCCTTCTGGGAAACTTCTGCTGGGGATATTTTAGCTTTTGATTTGAATGAGGAGCAATATGGTATTCTGTCACTCCCTCTCGGCAGCGGACCTCATGGTGCTTTGGTAGAGATGCACGGGGAGCTCTGTTACATTCTGCCTCATCGAAAGGGCTATGAGTACAACCTGGACATCTATGGTGATATGGACATGAATCTGAAGCATAGTATTTCTCTTGATGGTGATTTTTTAAGCGAATTTACTGAGAAGATGAGGGCTCTGGCTTGCGTCAATAGTGATGTGGTGATAGTTAATATTGGAAAGATACTGATTGCCTATGATGTGAAAGCAGGGAAGGCTGAAGTGCTAAGAAGTGGAACCAGGACTGATGATGGATATGGGAGGTACTTTCCATATGTGAACAGCCTTGTACACGTGCATTAATCATTCATGAGCAGCCTCTTTTCTGTGGATCCTACTGCCTAAGCCAAGCTAGCAAACTGGATTTTGTACTTTAGGATTAGATTGTTTGCAAGTGTAATTCCGAACTTCTTCTCAAACTCCTGACGAAGTTCTTATTTGAAACTTGTTTGAGGTCATAATCTTTGCTCAGGGTTTTTGGCTGCCTGTATGATGCAGGCCATGGAAATTTGATCGGAAAATGATGAATGTTGAATGCTGAAATATTTCATTTCTTAAATCAAGTTTAAACACCGCCAAGATTCACATCAGAAAACAAATCAATTATGGAAATTTTGGTCATAACAGTATTGCACCAAGTCATCGGCCCTATATGCAAACATACTAAGCATCTTGTAATGATAATTTATACATGACAAAGATCGATTTCGTCCCAACTATAAAGAACATGATGTTATCTTTCCTTTTAATTTGAAAAAAGAACGGCGAATATATGATAAATATCTCGAGGATTACAAGATTAATTAACGGATTTTGTACCAGAAAAAACCGCGGAGGAGTGCATGAATCGAAGTTTTGAACTTTTACCATGGCACGAGGGGATAACCGCTGAGTGGTATATACACGTTGGTTGCTATTCTTGGAACCTTCATATGCTGTCATTACTTGGTGCTGGTAGTAGCTAGGTTATGAAGTTGGTTAGTGTGCCCAAACCAATAGGATGTGATGTGATTTGCGTCCAAGTGTGAAGAGAAGCGCCCAAGGTGGAGGCAAAGTCTAAATTTGAAGGCAATATTTGTTGCTTGTGAGCCAATAACAAATGTGAAGCAAATTAAATGGGGGAGGCTCCAGCGAGGTGCCAATATGAGACAGAGGAACTGGTAAAAGAAATAACCAACACAATCTAAGTTAGGGGTGGCCGAGACAAAAACAGAGGTTTAGAGAGAGAGCTAAGGGTTGGTCCCTCCTTTGTAGGAGGCCATAATGGCAAGGACACACTAGAGTGCTCCTCCCTTTCTCTTTCCTTTGAGAAACCCTCCTACCCTATCTTCTTTCCATTGATCACCAGGTACCTTAATTATTTCGTTATTTCGTTCCGCCCTCCTGCATATCTTCTTCTCCGATCAAATTTTTTTAAAATTCGAAAAAAAATAATAATCATAATCTTTCGATCAATTAAACTAAAAACTACAGATGGTGTCCTGGAGGTCCTGGAGGGGAGATTAATGTTTGTTATCTCTACTTGGTAGCACATGTTACATGTACATTAATCAAACGTTACACATTTTCAATTTCTCTTCTTCTTTATATATGCATATGCATGCATGCATTTAGGTTTGATTATAATTTGCTTATTAAAACTTAGTGTTGATTAATTATTATTGCTTTCAAATTGTTTTAGGGGGTCTTCAATCATTGAGGCGAGCAGTTACGGGAGAGGTGAAGTGGTACCTGGCCGGAGGTTGATCAAGAGACGAATAATGTCTTCTGATAGTGCTCCGTCCCCGGATCACTCTTCACCACCATCACCAGACTCCTCGTCGTCATCCCCGTCTCCAAAGGAATCCCCGAAGGAATCACCTCCCGAGAAACCGCCCTCGTCGCCACCACCATCCTCACCACCACCATCAGCACCGCCACCGTCATCGCCGCCTCCGTCATCACCTCCACCATCATCTCCGCCACCTCCAAAGGACTCGAGCCCACCTCCCAAGGGTTCCTCATCGTCACCTCCACCAAAAGCGGCATCCTCCTCGCCACCTCCGCCAAAGGAAGCGACCCCAGCTGGTTCGCTTCCTCCTCCAAAGGAGCAGGCTGTGCCGACACCTCCGGCGGCTGTTACTGAAGCAAATGATACGGCTGCCGCTACAACACCTCCACACGCGCGTCCTAAGACTTCTCCCACTGGTGCACTATCGCCGCCGTCACATGGAAGCAGCACCCCATCAACAGATAGCTCTGATGAAGACAGCTCATCATCAACGGATAATAAAGGTAAGATAGCCGGAGTGGCTATTGGGGCGTCATTGGTTATAATTGTCTTGCTCGTGGTGTGCGTGGTTTGCATCAGAAGGAAGAGGAGAAAGCGTCGTGAAATGCAGTACTATGGAGATCCTGCTGATCATCACAAAGGTGCCAAACCCTAACCCATAATTTTGTTCACCACATGATGTGACATAATTTTTAATTACTTATTAATTTAATAAGTATGCATCAACTGTGAAATCATTTAGTCGTGGTGTTATGAAATTATAATATCTCTTGTCGCTTTATTTCAATAGATATTTAGTGATATACCCATTCTTAGCACTAATATTATAGATAAACCCTCCATCATTGAATTTCTATAAACAAACCCAAAAAAAACCCCCAAAAATGACAGCTGGCCTTATTGGATTTAATATTGATTATTAAATTACTTTAATGCCCTATTGAGTGTTTTGGGTATTTTTATGAGATTTTGAGGTTGGGTTTGTTTTAAGAAATTTATAGTAGTTTTGTAATTTATAAGAAGTTAAAGCCTCTTTGTTATGTTGTAAATGAGTTTTGGGTGTGTTTATAAAGTTCATTTCATATGGGGTATTTTTATAATTTGGACTCCCATATTGGGTATATTAGTGAATCTCCCTTATTTCAATTGACAAAAAAAAATCTCATATAGAAGAAAAGATTCACTTGGTGTTCATCACCCCATATATACACAATCTTGAGATTAGCCTCATTAACTTTATATTTGCACAGGTGGTGGTGGCTATTACAACAATACACAGCAACAAAATTGGCATGACATGAATAATCCACAAGGAGACCATGTGGTGAGGCTAAACAACCAAGCACCTGGTGGTGGTGCCTGGCCTTCGGGGCCACCTCCTACGAGTGGCGAAGCGAGCACCAATTTCTCGGGACAGCCATTGCCACCTCCGTCGCCAACAATGTCACTTGGGTTCAACAAGAGCACCTTCACTTATGATGAGCTTGCAGCTGCCACCAGTGGGTTTTCAGAGGCGAATTTGTTGGGTCAGGGCGGGTTCGGGTATGTGCACAAAGGTGTCTTGCCCAATGGGAAAGAGGTTGCAGTGAAAAGTCTCAAGTCGGGCAGTGGTCAAGGAGAACGAGAATTTGCGGCGGAGGTGGAGATCATTAGCCGAGTTCATCATCGGCATCTTGTGTCGCTGGTTGGATATTGTATTGCTGGTGGGCAGAGAATGCTGGTCTATGAATTTGTTGAAAACAAAACCATGGAACATCACTTGCATGGTGAGTTTGAATACACTTATACTCTACATTGTCGACGTTACGATCAAATATCAACACAGCACAATTTTTTCGGTTACTTAAACTCAATTTTGAGTGCTAATATTTAAACGATTTTGGTTGATCATCTATCTAAATCTTTAAATTCCATCTAAATAGTTGTATTTCTCGAGATTTTATGAGATGTTGATAAAATTATGGGTTGCAGGAAAGGGTCTTCCACCTATGGACTGGCCAACTAGGCTTCGGATTGCGGTTGGATCTGCCAAAGGGCTTGCATACCTTCATGAAGATTGTAAGAAAGTCAAAGCACCTAGCTATTTATTCTAATTGTTTCTCTCTCTCTCTCTCTCTCTCTCTCTCTCTCTCTCTCTCTCTCTCGACATATATTTACTTAATCGGAAATTAAATGAATCAATGCAGGCCACCCGAAAATCATCCATCGTGATATTAAATCTGCTAACATTCTCCTTGATTTCAACTTTGAAGCCATGGTATGTGTTGCTGACATACATATTTTTGTGATGCTTATAGTATGCATACGCCAAAATCAATCAATCAACCACCTTGATCATTCTTTTAATTTGCTTTTTCAGGTTGCTGATTTTGGGTTGGCCAAGTTGTCTTCTGACAATTACACCCACGTGTCTACACGAGTTATGGGAACTTTCGGGTAAGTTCATCCGATTCAAAATCAATTGGCAATTATTATGAGTGATCAATCTGGAATAATACTCTCAACATTGTCTAAGTTTTGAAGAATACTGCAATTTAACTCAACTAAGTTCTGAAGAATACTGCAATTTAACTCAATCTTATCTTAATTACTAGTGGTTGTTCCAGTAATTACCAGATTAATATAAATTTGGTTTTGTATCAAAACAATGCAGGTATTTGGCTCCAGAATATGCATCAAGTGGAAAATTGACAGAGAAATCAGATGTTTTCTCATTTGGAGTCATGCTCCTGGAACTCATAACTGGAAAGCGACCAGTGGATCCTTCAAATGCAATGGACGACAGCTTAGTTGACTGGGTTCGTACTTCCTCATATATTAATCTTTGCAAGTTTTTGTGTAAATAATAATGTGACACATTAAATGTACAGGCTCGACCACTTCTCAACCGTGCACTAGAGGAAGGCAATAATTTGGAGCTAGTTGACATCCGCTTGGACAATAACTTCAACCCTCAGGAGATGGCACGCATGGCGGCCTGCGCTGCTGCAAGTATCCGTCACTCTGCTAGAAAGCGCCCGAAGATGAGCCAGGTAACGTGTATATATATATCGGATATGTTACGTTTTCATTTATAATTAGTCGAGATTGACAGTTTAATAACACACCATGCCGAAAAAACAGATTGTACGTGCACTCGAAGGAGATGTGTCACTAGATGACTTGAATGAGGGGACAAAACCAGGGCAGAGCTCCATGTTCAACCCCACTGCCGGCGGAGGAAGCTCGGACTACGACACGCAGGCATACAATGCAGACATGAAGAAGTTCAGAAAGTTGGCCTTGTCAAGCCAGGAGTTTGGGAGCAGTGAGTTTGGGACTTCAAGTAATGACTCCAGAGAAATGTCTGGCACACCCAAGAACCCAAAGCAGCAACTCCTTTAAAGTTTGAGCCCCAATTAGTGTCCAACAAGAGCTTAACTAAGAGAGGACATAATTTCACAACAACACAGTACAAAGAAAAACAATTGATCATACTGCTTATGGATGAAAATGTGGCTACAGTTTCTAATTTGCTATTGAATTTTGGGATTTGGGATTTTTACCCAAGAAAGGTGAGAGAGAGAGAGAGAGAGGAGGTTTGGAGTGACATTGGAAGGGCGTTTGCGGGGGAGAGGGACATGTGCTTTGGGAAATTGTGTATTTTGGGGGCCAATTGAGATTACCCAGATCTTGATTAATTAGTTTGATTAACTTGTTTTCTTTGATAAATATGGATTTGTACTATATTCGTACAAATACTTTGGACTTAGAAGAAGATAGCTTGTCTGTATTGTTATGAATTGCCATGAATGTTTGATTATTTTATTCAATAAATTTATTTGTATCACAGATTTATATGCTACAAAATGTGATTTTTTAATGTGATATGATTATACTGACGGGATGATTAAACTTCATTAAATTAATCAAATGGTTAGAATTCTTTTAAATACGTATAAATGCACTGATATTAATTGGAGAGGCTTGGGATCCCTTGAGTAGCTAGGGCACCTCCTTGCAAATCAACTCTATAGGATCACACAAATGTATTATTCTTAAAGGCGCTTTTTTTTCCCCATTGCTTTCTTTGAATCTGTCCCCTGAACCAACTTGGAGACATGTATACAGGCGGAACTGCTCATAATTAACAATTTATGAGTCATACTTGAAACAAATTAACAATTTAGAATGGCTACTTTTAAAACAAATTAACGAGAGAATTACCACTAGATTAAAATTTTATTAGTTAATATGATTTATATATTTACAAAGGGGAATTGAATATGGAAGTTTTTTTCTAACATTACGTAGTAGAGAAATACCACTATATTAAGATTTAGTTAATATAATTTATATTTACTTGAATATTTTTGGTTTTCGTAGTTTGATTTATTTTCCATGTAATTTCAACTTTGGCATAATTAGTCATATAGTTTTGTTTGATTTGTAATCAAGTTCAAATTATAAATTTTGTTTTGTGAATTTAATAGATGAACTTCGATGTGGCAATACGTAACCATCCTTTGTGGGGGTGCAATAATATTTGAAATCAACAAAAAAACCTAAGAATTAGGTCTATCTTCTTAATAATGTTAGAGTTGTAAGACTTAATTGCTAAATAAACAAAACTATATAACTAAAGTTGTCAGTCCCGCTCACCTAAGGACCTATAAATGAAGTCATATGAGCACATATTTAATAAAGATCCTTGGATTAATCCAATGACTCATATAATTAGCAATTAAACTCTCTTTATTATATATGCTGCAAGGTCCTTATTAAATAGGTGCTCACGTGACCTTAATTTTAAGCCCTTAGGTAAACGGAATTGTTAAAATGAAAATGATGGAAACAAAATGTTGAAAATTGGTCACAAACACCGAAAATATGATTTGGTAAGTAAAAAAAAAATTTATTTCGAACTACGGGGATAAAAAGTAATTACCCTCCGTTTTTATATAATTGACATTACAAAAGGACAAAACTCACACATAATTTGGCGTCTATAAATACCTTCTCGAAAACCCTTCTCAGATTTTCGCTGCCGCCTATCTGGCTTTCCCAGTCCGACCCGACTGTTTCAACCGGATACGGATTCGGATTCCCCATATATTTATGCAACCTTCATATCTGAGTACAGAGTACTCGGACTGCTTCAGAAACCATAACTCAGCTCAGATCGATTCGCCATGGGAGACTACAACAACAACAACAACAACAACGATGCCTTCATGCGCAGCCAAAACGCCGCCGTTCAGGGCCGAACCAAGGCCCAGAACCGCGCTAATGTTCTTCAGCTCAAACTGGTTCGTCCATAGGGTTTCTTCCTCTTACTTGTTTAGGTTTAGTTTTTCTATTTGTGAGGCTAGGTTTTTGTGTTTATCCTTCTCAAATTACTTGATTAATATAGGATTTTCATGTTTTAGATAAACCCTAGCAAAATATGTAGCTGATCTCTGTAGTTTTCTCCTAATTTATTGAATTTTGTTGCATGTCAATTGATAGTACTCAGAATTTGAACATACTTTGCTTTTTGACTGGGCGTTCTGTATTGGTTGCTTTGTAAACATAGTTAAGGTTTGGATTTATTTTGTAAGGAATATCGATTTGTAATTTTTGTGTTTGCGCTGCAGATTGGTCAGAGTCACCCCACTGGTTTAACAACTAACCTTTTGAAGCTGTTTGAGCCTCGACCACCGTTGGATTTTAAACCGCCTCCAGAGAAAAGAAAATGCCCACCCTTGACAGGTTTTTTAGTAAATCTTGGGCATGAATAATTTCCAATTTGGCATGACTTTTTAGGTTGTAGCTCTTAATTTTTTGTGTATTATTTTTGGTTAATGAAGGGATTGCGCAATTTGTGAGTAAGTTTGCGGAGCCAGGAGATCCTGAATATACCGCGCCTGTCCAAAAGGGCGAAACTCCTGTAAGATTCTAACTTGAAATTCTTGTATGAAGACATAACCTTAAGAAGTCACTGTTCATACTGAAACATATATGCTTTCTGTCTTGTTGGATTCAGACACAAAGAAGGGCTCGGATACACCAGTTAAGGCTTGACAAGGGTGCAGCAAAGGCTGCAGAAGAGCTAGAGAAATGTGATGACCTACTCTTCTTTTGACTGTAAGACTTTAGATTCTTATAATTTATGTTACCTTGTTTTCCTTATATCTGTTTCTGTGCAGATGATCCAAATAATGACCCAAATATTTCTGGAGATCCATATAAGACTTTGTTTATCGCTAGACTGGTGAGTAACATTTTTGGGTACTGTATTGGTTTGCTCATGCTGTTCTTCGTATTCGTTAAGGTTGACGTGTAATCTTCATTGTATTCCTGCAGAATTATGAGTCAACTGAGAGCAGAATCAAAAGGGAGTTTGACGTTTATGGTCCAATCAAACGGGTAGGTGTTTTTCTGAGCAACCCCAAGGGGGTTCGGTAAGAGGTTCACTTGCATTGTAGCTTGTTCCTTTTCGTTTTCTCTACAAAAATCCCATATTTTCTAATCTTTGAATTTGGAAAAAGTATTCTCAGGATTGTTTTCCTTTTTCCAATTTTGTTCAAAAAGATGCCGGGGGTACATATTACTGAACTTTTCTGAAGTTATGTAGTTAGAACCCTCAAGAGTCTGTCTCATACATTTTCTGCATAATAAACTGAATTTGAAAATTCATTCAGCCAACTGGGTTGAGATAATGCATTGTTTCCAGCCATAACTATATCTGGTGATGCCTGGTGATGCCTTTCGAGTCTGTTCTCCTTGGTTAGTTTTATTGTTAGTGGAGTCTTGCAAGTTTGTATTACTATTACAGGTGTCTCTGCAAATATGCCGGTAATGTCTTGCGGGTTTGTTTAAATCCTTCCATAGCTCTCTTTTTTATATGGTTTTATGTAGAGATCTTGGAATTGGGCTTTCTAGGGTATATACTAGCATTAAGTTTTAACATTCAAGGAGTATCCCTGGTAAGGGGTGAGTATTCATCAATATCTTTGATTTCTACCTACCTGATTCCGAACATGGTGCTTCGTCCTGCACAGCAAAGCTGAGTTTATAAGACTTAAAAATTAACACAGGTGTCACTGCGAGTATACTGGTAATCTCGTATGGGTTTGCTCCATTCTTAGCTCCCCCTTTAATGTAGTTTTATTTAAGAGATCTTGGAACTGGGTGTTTCTAGGATATGTATTGGTTTTAAGTTCTAACATTCAAGACATATCCCTGGTAAGGTGGTAATTTGTTCGCATATGGTAACTTTGATTCCAAAATTTCTCCCTATCCAATCCCAAAAATGATGCTTCATCCTGCATAGCAAAGCTGAATACTATAAATTGAGCAGAGCAGTGATGCACTGTGCCTTTTGGACTTTATTTCAAGCAACAAAAGGAGACCAACGGGGTAAAACAAGTCGGGGGTATTAGCATCTCTTTCTCCTTTGAATTTTTAGTACATGCATTTTCTGCTGAAAATTTTACTTTTGGCTTTGAAGGCTCACAAAAAAAAAAAAAAAAAAAAAAAAAACACACACACACATCGGCAGCACGATGTCCTGGTATTTTTAATAGTATTTACAAATTTTTTTTTATTATTAAAAAAATCTCCCTGGTAAGGGGATAATAGTCTGTTCAACTGGTAAGTTGGCCACAAATGTCAGTTTTTCTGCAACTCTAGCCGGTGATGATGCATCTTGCGATGGAAGCTGTTTGATTTAAAGGTGAGCACGGCTAAAGAGGCATAGTGCCTGTCTGCCGTGCCATTTAGGATTCAATATTTTTCTGCAGTATGATGCTTTGTTGTAGATGTTAAAACATCTATTCTTAGTTACTTAGTCTTAAGCATTCTTTGCTTAAGATCAGAATACTTTATATCTTGTTTATTAATCATATTCTTCTTCTATGAAATTTCAGGTTCGATTGGTTTCTGACAAAGAAACAAATAAACCTAGAGGTTATGGATTCATTGAGTACATGCATACACGGGATATGAAAGGTTTGCTTTAATACTTTATGTACTAAATTACAATATGATTTGTCCTTTGTTTCTAAGACTAGTTATATGCATGTTACAGCTGCATACAAGCAAGCTGATGGGAGGAAGATTGAAGGCAGAAGGGTTCTTGTAGATGTTGAACGTGGGAGGACAGTCCCAAACTGGCGTCCTCGCCGACTGGGTGGTGGGCTTGGGACCACCAGAGTTGGAGGTGAAGAAGTTAATCAGAGATATTCAGGAAGGTAAGGAGTTTGATTCCAACATTTCCCAACTTTAGTCATAAAAAACTGATGTGCAAATACTGTGCATATTGTACAGTAGAAATTTAGTTGTAAGAGAGACGGACCTCATTGCCTAAAGTGCTTATGTTTTGTCCTGAATTAACATGGGGATGAAAGTGTTCTTTTAGTTTCAGAATTGAAAATATGTGAGATTATTTGTAGAGTATGCTTGAATTTTAGAAGTTTTATAGGGGATATCAATGTTTTCCCTACTGAGGTAAAGATGTTTAATCTCTTCTGTTCCATGTCTTTTTTCTTTTTTTTAAATCCCAAACGTGGTCAATTTTTTGATAAGAAATATAGTCAATGGTAATGTAATAGTCATCCATTTCAGAAAAAAATTATAGGATCCAACATTATGTGAGCACCAACAAATGAAGAGAATTGTATCCTCTGTGGTTGTTTTATGACTCATCTTTAAGTGGTATATTGGTAGAGATTTCTTTGTCTTCCTATTATGTAATCTATATTATCAAAACTAACTGCTTTGTTTTGTACTTGTTTTATTATATTAGCTATGGGATTTTGGGAGCATGATCTTCTTCCAAGTTGTGTCATAAAATTGCTGGATGTGAAAACTTTGTTTTCTCGTATGTTTAGCATGTTTTTTAAGAGCCTTTGTTAACTTTAACATTTATCTTTGTTTGCTTAGGGAGCAAGTACAATCAGGAGGACAACCCCGGTCCGAGGAGCCAAGGGTACGCGAGGAGCGGCATGTAGACTTGTAAGATTTTCCAAACTGTTTTGCACATTGTTTGAAAGGTTTTGGTAGTAGTGATGTTCAGCTTTAAATGATTATGATTATTTTTTATTTAATAAAAGCTTGTTCAAAATATAAAAAACAAAAAAAGAGGTGAAAACAAAAAGCATGCCAGATAAAGGAGGGTTTCCCTAATGCAAGATATCCTTGGGTGCACTCAATCTGTCATGGTTATGTTACTGATTTTTACTTGCGTACTTTAGTGATAGTTATACAATTGTCTCGAAGTAATTGTTCTGGCATTTGGTCATGCTTTGTAGGTATTCATGAATTCTTATTATTATTACTGCAATTTCATTATTGCTTTCTATGTGAGTGATATTGAGTGAACTGATTTTCAGGGATAGAGAAAAATCCCGTGAAAGGGGAAAAGAGAAAGACAAGGAGAGAGAACGGGAGAAGTCCCGTGAGCGCTCCCGTGAACGCTCCCATGACAAGCCTAGGGATCGTGATCACAGGGAAGATAGGCACCACAGAGATCGTGATAGACCCAGGGACAGGGACCGGGATAGGGATAGGGAAAGAGATCGTGGTCGTGATCGTGATCGAACTCGTGAGCGAGGACGTGATCGTGGCCGTGACTATGAGCGTGATCGAGAAACTAGGGATCGTGATCGCGATCGCCCTCGAGAAAGAGATAGGGATTATGAAGTTGGGGACCCTGAGCATGATCGTGGCCGTTCCCGTGACAAGGAATCTGATTATGACCACCGTACTGAATCAAAACATGAGAGGGACCGACATGGTGAAAGGGAACGGGATTATGACCGCACTGCCCAGGAAGATGGCCAGGGGTGGTTTGAACAACCTGAACATGGCCATAGGCACTCAGACCCTGACCAGGATGCTGAGCCCTATGAACATCATCGTAGCCAGTATGATCAATTGGATGTCCAGCATGACCATGACCGTTACAAACAATATCCTGATCGCGGGCATGATCGCTATGATCGAATGGAGGAGGATGATTACCATTATGAACAAGCACCAGTTGAGTCCCGCGAAAGGGATAGGGATGGAGATGTGGAGCGAGATTATCGGAGGTCATCTAGATCACTCTCTCGGGATTATAGTGAATATTAAGACTGAAATTGAATACCTATCAAGTTTTTGTGCTTTACTGGTTAGCTATTCACTCTGATTGGGTTCATCAGCACTCAAGATTGCGTCTTATGCAGCAGCTGCTTTCTGTGTTGGGTCTTTTGTTTTGTTCGTCTTTTTTCCCTTTTCTTTCTACTCAATCCTACATAGAGCTGTGTTTAAATGTCTTTGCGACTAAGCTGGCTTGAGGATGTTATGTGTTGGGTAATTTAAATGTCTGAACGTTTACGGTGGTGGAATTGGGTAGGTCTTTTTTCCCTCTTTTGTAAACCTTTTAAATTTGTGAAAATTAATGAATTTGTTGGTGGATTCGTGTGACATTTAATTCCAAGATGTCTTGGACTGTGCATCTCATTTGTCTCCTGGACCTGGAGGCATCTTGAAATTCTATTTACCACCTGCCCGTATTTCACAAGTATGTTCGTTTTTTGAGCGTTGCATTGCACATCAGTTCTTTTATCTGATCTGATTATCTTGCAGGCACCACCCCCTTCCGATGGAATTCTGTGTAGGTTGTATAATTGGGCTGGAATGAAATGAGGCCCAATAGTATGCGGGCCCATGCCCATAGTCTTCCATTCTAACCAAATTTCACGGATAAAACAAGATTCTGGTTACCCATGCCCAAACGTTTCAAATTAATTTGTATTCCAGTTTTACACAGCTTAGTATATATGGTCCAGTCCAAGCTTTTTATTTTTGGTACAAATGGTCCAGTCTGGTTTTCAATATAAACCTTTTGTTTTTATATAATTTTATACAAAGCGTAATCGAAGCTAAAACCTTTCGAGGTAAATGATTTTAACCACTTTAGTTACAAGCCAATTAGTCAAATGAGCAACTTAATAATTCAAATATAGGAATTTTAGAGGGGGCTGTGTTGTGTTTTTGTTTGGAAGAGGCCAAAAACCAAGAAGCAGCGATGAAGCTTCATATATGAAAGTGCCACAGCACCTGTTGCTTACAGCTTCTTCAAGAATGTCAATCCGTAAAAGCTTCTTCGTGTTGGTACTGCATTGCCTCGAGAAATTGAAGTTGCTTCTCGGAAATTTCTAGGAAGAAACCCCTTGTCCTGCTTTATGGTAAGAAACAAAATCACAACAGAGGTTTTGTGTGGCCAGCGGGTTGTTTAGAAAACAAGTAACCATGACAACAAAGAAACAAAATAACGTTAAAATCACTTGGGTATCAAATTAATCCCAATGTTGAAACTAGCATTTCAAAATCATTAGGTGAAGTGAACCCACTTGCCAGTTCCAGTTTCTTCCATTGAGCTTCTGGGAAGCTTCATGATTAGAAAAATGACATATTGAGGACAAAAGCCTCTTTGTTTGCTTCCTATTTCTTGCTCCATTCAAATTTGAGATTAAGAAGTTTTGTTGGTAATTTTAAAGGGGGTGCATCATTGTGTACTGTGGAGCATGATTTGTACCATTTTAAGATTTTGGACTGTTTGTTTGGCAGAGTTTTACTGCAAAGCTTGCAATTTTGACTTGACTGCTGTTGTGTAAATGCCAAAGAAAAACCTGTTTGTGAGTTTGGGTTTTTATTATTTTCTTGAGATCCTTTTTAAGCTTAAACACCATTTTTTTTTACCCTCCTCTAGATTCCTTGAGAACAAAGAATGAAGGACACCAAAAATGTTAAGTTAGTGATACTTAACAAGTTTAGAGATGTAGCATTTGGTGCTTTCTTCACCCTGCTATATCACTTTATGAATGTGAGTTGGCATGATTGCAGCAAAGCTTTGATGACTCAGCACTCCCCAGTCCCTACTTACACTCTTACTAGGATTTGAGGGTCCCAACTCAGAGAGAGAGAGAGAGAGGGTAAATAGGATTTGAGGGTCCCATATGTAAATTATTTTATAATCTTAATGAAGTCCAAATCAATACACATGCAGAGAGAGAGACAGAGAGAGAGGTTATAAATGTAGACAGCAGGACAGTAGGCAGGTACTAGAAGAGTGCACTCCGAATTGTGCACTATACTTAAAAAAACTAGGAGGAGGAGAAAAGGGAAGTGCAGAACATTCAACAGAAGTATTATTTCTATATAGAAACAGCTTCTCTGAGCCATAACTTCATTGCCTTGCTAGTAACTATCATCACCTGAATGGCTCAAACCAAGGTCACTCCGAGGGCAGTTACAATATCAGCAAGAGCAGCAGCAATAGCAATAGCATGGGCACTCTTCATTAACCTCCTTATGACAAGTGAAGTTGCCAGTGCAGAGAGGCCTCTCAAAGATGAGAAGCCAACAAAATTTATTGAGCAAGACATACATGAAGCATTTTTTGTGAAAGTGGTCAATTTTCTATGGCAGGCGGGAGGATCTTCTTATCAGCCTGTTTGGCCAGTGAGTTTGATCTCTCTTAAACACCATAGTTAATGCATCTCCAGCAAGAACACAAAGAGAGAAAGAGATAGAGAGCATAAAGGGGATATAACTTTTACATCTAATTTCCTATAAGATTTGATGATTCTTCCTTTCATGTTTACTGTTGTGGTATTTTAACTTTGACATATAAATATATATTTTGGTTGTTCAGGAGATGAAGTTTGGTTGGAAAATTGTAGTTGGCTCAATAGTTTGATTCTTTGGTGCAGCATTGGGTAGTGTGGGAGGTGTTGGAGGTGGAGGTATTTTTGTACCAATGCTTGCCTTGATAATTGGTTTTGATCCCAAGTCTTCCACTGCCATTTCCAAGTGTTAGTAATCACTTTTCCTTTTAATCTTTTCTTTTAACCTGTTAATTTAATCTTAATGTATTCAATTTAGACAGAATTGAAGAACTGTATGCCATCCTTTTGGTCATGCAGGTATGATAATGGGTGCTGCAGGTTCAACAGTATACTTCAATTTGAGACTTAGGCACCCAACACTGGACATGCCCCTTATAGATTATGATCTGGCTTTGCTCTTTCAGCCAATGCTCATGCTAGGGATCAGCATAGGAGTTGCCTTCAACGTCATGTTCGCCGACTGGATGGTCACAGTTCTACTTATCATTCTCTTCTTAGGTAATAACATTTTGAACACAAATTCCTTATTTACTTTGAATACTCCCAATAATCTTATTAGATATTCTTCTGAATTCTGGCAGGTACAGCAGCAAAAGCTTTAATGAAAGGGGTAGAAACATGGAAGAAAGAGACAATGATGAAGAAGGTAAGGTTTTCACTTAACTATTTCCTGAGCTATCAATGAATATGATCTGGTATCAATCTAGTAACAAGGAATTTGAGATTTCTAATGACTTTCAGGAAGCAGAAAAGCAGTTGGAATCGGAGTCCAAACCTGGCGGTGAGTGCTCATCCAAGCAAACATTCCTATATATATAGACCAAGTTTAGAGAATATACACTAATATCAACTAAAAGAAAACTCTAAAGTGCGCATCTCCTTTGTTGCAGATGGTTCTGGAGAAGACTACAAACCACTACCTGGTGGTCCTGCTTCATTGCAAGATGAGCAGGTAAGTTCCAAGAATATCAGAACACTCTAGGGCAGTATTCTTTTGCAACTTCTTTGTCATCTGCAATTTTTAAGTTGCTTCAGTTTTTGTTTCATTGATATTATGAACAACTCTATCCAGGTGCCTATATCACACAACGTTTACTGGAAGGAGTTATTGATGCTTGTGTATGTCTGGGTGGCTTTTCTTATTGTTCAGATTGTTAAGGTAAGTTATTTTACTCTGTAGTTCTGTACAACTAAAGAAGCTTTTCTAGGAACTCATCTATTTGCATACCGGACCTTAAAATGCTCTCCAAAAGATATGATCATCACTAGCAATGCAATCAAGTTCCATCTTTCTAATTCCTCTGCATTTGCTTCCAAAGCGCCATGATTTTAACTTTTGTTACTGAATTAGTGTATCTGAACTTTGTGCAGACATATACTGAAACTTGCTCCACCATGTTCTGGGTCCTGAACTCCTTGCAGGTAAGGTTAACAGCCAGAGTAGTAAGATTTCTTTCAAGAGCACTATAGAAACACATAACTATGTACACTCAAGCATACATAAAAAGAATGATGTCCAGTTGAACATAATATTTTATCATTTTGTAGGTACCAATTGCAGTCTCCGTTACGCTCTTTGAAGCCATATGCTTATGCAAAGGCACCAGGGTGATTGCATCCAAAGGAAAGGAAATCACAAACTGGAAATTGCATCAGATTTTTCTTTACTGCAGCTGTGGGATAGTAGCTGGTATGGTGGGTGGCCTACTTGGGCTGGGAGGCGGTTTCATCTTGGGACCCCTTTTTCTTGAATTGGGAATTCCTCCTCAGGTATAGTTCAATGCAAGACAAAATTCACTCTATTCTTTTTATCAGTCAGAAAATCTTGTCCAGTCCAAATCCATTGGTGCAAAGGAATCTTTAGAAAGATATCAACTAGATAACCTGCCATTAACAAGTCAGCTGGACTGGCCTCAGCTCAGAGAATATATATAAGCCTCATAGGCTGATAACCTATCATCTATAACATACATTTTCGGGTATCATAACCGAAAACATCAGGAAGAGAAAATCACAACTGCAACCAGATTGATGATTTTTTATCTTTGGCAGGTAGCAAGTGCTACATCCACATTTGCAATGCTATTCTCATCCTCCATGTCAGTTGTACAGTATTACCTTCTCAACCGTTTCCCAGTCCCGTATGGTAAGTAGTAGCAATAATCTAACTTCAGCTGAGATTTCAAAAATTAGTTGTGTTCATATCTTCTATATATACCCAAAAAAGAAGGAAGAAAAAAAACTAACTGTTCCAAGTTTACTCTATGCTGCAGCTGCTTATTTTGTTTTAGTTGCAACAATTGCTGCATTTACTGGTCAGCATGTAGTGAGAAAGATAATTGCAGTTGTTGGGAGGGCATCCATTGTCATCTTCATACTAGCTTTGACCATCTTTGTGAGCGCAATCAGCTTAGGTATAACAACAAATAACTCACACAAAAGCAAAATGGACAAGTATTTTTTCAGCTTATATAATAAGCTAATGTACTTAATTTTATTTTGCTGTTTTTTTTGTTCAGGTGGGGTGGGGATAGCAAATATGGTTGAGAAGATGGAGAATCAAGAGTACATGGGATTTGAAAATTTCTGTCACCAGTCTTAAGCATGTTGTGTAATATCCTATTTGTTTGCTGTGGAATTTGTCAACCCACAATAACTATTATCCACACCACAGTCTACTTTAAATTTTGTTGTATATTTTTCCAGTAATTTTCTGGCAAAGATGACTTGATATTTATGTACTGGATGTTCAAATCATTGTTCCATCAGTTCCTAAAACGTCATCGTTTCCAACATTGCATTGTTAATGAGAATGTCCATGTAGAATTCCAATTAAAATAAATTTTTTTGAAATGCTCTCTCTTTTTCAATTCAAACTTAAATTTTGTTAGTTTGTCATAGTCAACTATGATAACCCTTCTTTTTCTTTTTATTGTCCTATTTCTGGCTAACAAAGCGTTTCAAAAGAAGTCAAATCTAGCCGTATTCTGTTACATACAACAACGTTTCCAATCTATAAATTGTGAAACATCAAATATATACAATACATTACATATCACTAAGAAGAAAAAAAACATAATAACAAGGAGAAAATCAAGTTCCTAATGAAATTGGTCAAAGGTGACGAACATTGAGAAAATTAAAGTAAACATTCAATATAATTATCCATATCCAAAAACTGAACTTTTTTATTTATTTTTAAAATCGTAATTTTCCAAAGAGTGGACACAATAACGACAAATCCGAGAAATGCCGGACAAAGCGTGCCTGTTCCCTTCAATTTGAAAAGACTAATAACACCCTGCGTGAAGAAAAAACCCAACAAAAAGGGAAAACATCGTAAAACAAGAAAGGTGCAGTAGTAATTAACTGCTCGTTCTAGGGCAATATTCAAACCCCGTTTTCCCGCCCAGTCACTTCGTTCGCTTGAGAAAATTAATAAATTTGGGGTACTTTATATGCCTCTCTGCTCCACCCACTTCTCTCTCTCTCTCTCTCTCACTCACTTAATAATATCTGAACTCTCAAGCGCTTCTTCATCTTCCCTGCTCTCTTCTCTCTCTGCAACTGTGTGCTTTGGAGGCATTCGTCTCTCTCTGCGGTTCACTCTGGGTACGGTTCCTATTCCTTCATTTCATGTCTCTTTTTATATTTATATTTAAGTTTCATTATTTCGTTTTTTTTCTTCTTTCTGTTCGCTTTTTCGTATGGTTATTGTTTGGAACCCGAAACCTAGGGTTTGTGTTTCAAGAAACACTAATTTTTTTTTATTTGGAATTTTTTATCTTCTGTTCGGTACTAATATGTTTTTTTTTTTTTTTTTTTTTTTTTTTTTTTTTTTTTTTTCTTTTTTTCACTTTAGATTTTGAAATGGCGGCGAAGAACGATGCCTCAGCAGAATCCCCGACTTCGGTTCTCGAGGACGAGGTTTGCTTTCACTAATTTTTTAATGGCGCTTGTTTCTATAGCTTCTCTCTGTCGGTCTGGTTGGTTCTTAGGAATGTGGCAGAGTTTGAAGGAAAATGTTTGAAGAACGAGTAGAAAGACAAGAAATTCCTCAAAATAACGAATTTTGTAGAAAATAAATCATGTCTGTGTGTGTCTATGTCTCTCACGTACTTTTTGAATTAAGAACTTTCGAGTTTTGGTCTAGCTGTGAGAAAATGAAGTTTGCATGCACATGCTCGATCTATTGTTTCTATGAAATATGTTCTCTTATAGTCCTGACAGGCTTCTGTGTGACAAATTATAGATGCCTAGTGTGTGGTTTCTGTTGGATTTGATAAATAGGGTCTATGTTTGCTTCGAACTCCTACTAATGTTACATTTTTAACCATGTTTTGTTCATTTTGTAATGTTGTTGTATTGAATCATGTTTAAGGAAACATGCGAGGAGAAGATTGATGTCAAATTAGAGAAGAGCGAGGTAAAATCAGAGGAGGAGATACTTCCTGATGAAAAAAATGAGGATTCCTTGCTTATACCAAAAGCCTTGACTGAGGTGGAAGAAAAGTTGCTTGAAGATCGGGTGAAGGAAGAGGAGGCAGAAAAAGAAAAGGCGGCAGAGCAGTTACCCAACTTGAATAACACTCAGATTACCAAGTTGGATGAGCTCCTAACACAAACTCAGCTTTACTCGCAGTTTTTGCTGGAGAAAATGGATAACATCACACTTGTACCTTCTCTTACACTTTTCTCTTAAATGGTAAATTCTTTCTTATGCTTTTTGCTGATTAAGTTATAAAATGAAATGTTATGCTAGATTGGAGCCGAGCAGCAGACTGAAACTGTTGAGGAAAAGAAAGGTCGTGGTAGAAAAAGAAAAGCCACTGCAACCTACAATAATGTAAGAAATTCCATGCTTCCTTCATTTTTCCAAAATGAGATATCTTGTTCATTTGAGTCTGGTTTGGTTGATCATGAATGTATATGGATGTTCTTGTATAGTTGTCCTATCAGATGTAATTAGTATTGTCACAATTATCTATCAGATGGACATCTATTTATTGAGGTTTTGGGTGGTCCGATTGCTCTTATCTTCTGTCCCAAGTGGATTAATCTTTTCCAAGGGAGAAAATTTGCTTGCTGGGTGACATAATAAAGTCTAAATATTCTTTCGGAATATAGTGAATATATCTTTTAATTATGTTTTAAATTTCATCCCATTAGAAGTTTATTGGATATTTCTATGTCTTCTTTAAGTTCCTTGTATATTGACATCTTGACCTTTACTGTCTTCATTTCCTTAGAAGAAGGCCAAGAGGGCAGTTCAAGCTATGCTTACGAGATCTAAAGAGGGTGAGAAAACTGAAGATGTGGACCTCACTGAGGAAGAAAGAGTTGAGAAAGAGCAAAAGGAACTTGTGCCTCTGTTGACTGGTGGAAAATTGAAGTCTTATCAAATCAAAGGTGTAAAGTGGTTGATCTCATTATGGCAAAATGGGCTGAACGGGATCCTTGCAGATCAAATGGGACTTGGAAAGACCATCCAGACCATTGGTTTTCTTGCTCATCTGAAAGGGAATGGATTGGATGGGCCGTATTTAGTAATTGCTCCTCTGTCTACTCTCTCCAACTGGGTAAATGAATTCTCAAGGTAAATGTTTTAAATAGATTCTTTTTGGTTAACTTCTCTGAATATAGTTTCATCGAATGATCTGTCAACTTTATTTCTTCCTTTTACCTTCTTTCTATCCCCAAATAGGTTCACCCCTTCAATAAAGGCTATAGTCTACCATGGGGACAAGAAACAGAGGGATGAGATACGAAGGAAGCACATGCCTAGAGCAATTGGCCCTAACTTCCCTATAATTGTTACTTCATATGAAGTTGCAATGGCTGATGCAAGAAGATTTTTGAGACATTACAAGTGGAAATATCTTGTGGTTGATGAAGTGAGTAGACTAGGCCGTTACTGATATTGTTTCCATTAAAAAAAAACCCTATAATATAGCATGAATGTTGACCTATTCTGCATCTGTTTATTGAAGGGACACAGATTGAAAAACTCAAAGTGCAAGTTACTGCAGCAATTGAAATTCTTACCTATAGAAAATAAGATTCTTTTGACTGGAACACCTCTGCAGAATAATCTGGCAGAGCTTTGGTCATTGTTGAACTTCATTTTGCCTGATATATTCTCATCCCATGAAGAATTTGAGTCATGGTAAGTATGGTTTTCTCTTTTTTTTTCTCCAGTTTGATGCTTGTTAATTCGCAAACTCATTCATCTATCAAGGTGGAAATATTTTTTGCTGGTGATGGGCGATATCAAGCTCCACTAGGTGTCTAGTTTGAGAACCACCTGCTTTCTAGAAACTGCAATGGGCAACTGAATAACTGTTGTATATTCATACTTTTTATAATTAAGCTTCTTGCCAAGTAATATTTTTAATCTTTGGAATAGTAAACATGCAACTATTATATATAATGTGGAAATCCTGCAAATGTCCAGTGAAGGAATAAGTCAGAAGCATTTTCTTTGGCATGTCCAGTCCAATTCCGTTATTCATCTGGATTGTAGACACGATTCAATCATTACTGTGATGTCATTAAAATAGTATCTTTTGTTTAGAAGGTTAGCTGTTGAAGGAACCACGCTATATATGTCTTTATGTTTTGCTAAGACCTAAGCCCATGATATGCTGGGTGAATAACTTTTGTGGAGAAGGAAGACCAATAGATTTCTTTTGTATGGCTATGTTTTGTTAGTCTATTACATAATTAGCTTAGTGCATTCTTGTTGGCAGGTTTGATTTAGCAGGAAAGTGCAATGGTGAAGCAATGATGGAAGAACTGGAAGAGAAGAGAAAGGCCCAAGTATGCGTCCTTGCAAACATTGTGGGTTCATTTTTATAGAAAATTTGAACTGTGTTATGATGAATTTTCAATTGTCCACAGATGGTAGCAAAACTCCATGCCATATTGCGTCCCTTTCTTCTTCGAAGAATGAAGACTGATGTTGAGCAGATGCTTCCTAGGAAAAAGGAAATCATATTATATGCATCCATGACAGAACATCAAAAACATTTACAGGAGCATCTGATAAATAAGACACTGGAGAATTATCTACTTGATAAGGGGGACCGTGGTATGACATCTGTCTGTATTAGTGAAAACTGCGATTTGCATTGTAGTAAGATATATAAGGTCCTAATTTTCTGTGCATTTGGTTTTCCTGGAACCATTGGTAGTCTCATTTAACCAGTTAAGACACTGATGATGCATATCATAGGGAAAATGCTGTATCTTCCAATATCAATATACCGGACTGTCAAAATTGACCTTTGTGGAACAGATAAGAGTTGACCTTGGATTTGTTTTTCATTATTTACTCATTAGACGAGTCAGAAAAATAATTTAATGATTTCCTGGTTGCTCCTATATTTTTTTATTTTCTGTAAATGATCCCAAAAGGTTGGCTGTCTAGTATCATTTCTGCAGTGTGTTTGTTCGCAGCACCACTTCTCCCCAATTTCTTAAATTTGGATCACTATAATTCTTTCTACCTTTTTCTGTTTCCTGTGTTATGGTCCTTAACTTTGGCGTGTTATATAAATATGATGATTAGCTCAGTTAGTTATTAGTGTATCATATTATGCAGTTATTTATGTTATCTAACAATTCTCAAACTTGCAGCACGCGGTATGAAGGGAAAGCTTAACAATTTGATGGTCCAACTTCGGAAGAACTGCTGTCATCCTGACCTTTTAGAGGCTGCATTTGACGGCTCGTGTACTTCACTTTAAATTAATTCAGTGTTATCATTTGAAATGGGTGCTCGACCAATCCTTATTCAGTTTTCTATTTCTTGACAGATTTCTACCCACCTGTTGAACAGATGGTTGAGCAGTGTGGCAAATTTAGCTTGCTGGACAGACTGTTGAAGCGGCTGTTTGCCCGCAAACACAAAGTATGTCTACCAGTTATTTTGGGTATATTTTTGTTTGCTATTGGGTTGCTAACTATCTTCCATTTGTTTTGTATTCAGGTTATAATTTTCTCTCAGTGGACTAAAATTTTGGATATAATGGATTACTATTTTGGTGAGATAGGATTTCAAGTCTGTAGAATTGACGGAAGTGTGAAACTTGAAGAACGGAAAAGACAGGTTCGTGATTGGTTTGAATCAGAAGTCTTAATTCTGTGGGAGATTATCTAATTGTTTAGTAGATGTGCGTTATCTCATGCTTTGGCTGCATTAAAACTGGAATTCTTTTTCAGCACTGTAGCTGTCATTTATTTTTTTTCTGACTCCTGTACTGTAATTATGTCATTCAGTTAAGCATAATTGCAGAAATAAATTCAACCATGCCATCTGTATTTGTTGCTTGGATTAACATCTATTATTAAACCATGTATATAGCAGTTAGATCCTGTTATTTGAAGTGGAATACCTTTGGCAGACAAAACCATTCCAGTTCTGGCCATAGGCTAGGATTCTGACAGTGCGTAGGGTTGAGAGTTCATTTCCTCATTGCACAACTTGTTTTCTTACTCAAATTTAGTGTTACCCCTATTTTAGGTTCATTGCTTATTGATAAATATTCTATTGCAAGCAGATTGCAGTGTTCAATGATGTGGACAGCAATTATAGAATTTTTCTTCTAAGCACCAGAGCTGGTGGACTGGGTATCAACCTTACTGCAGCTGATACTTGTATACTGTATGACAGTGATTGGGTATATTTTTGGTCCTCTCCTCTCTTTAATTCTTTCTTTTATTTTTCTTTTACTGCAATTCAACATTCACGCAGGATTAATTTGATTTGTTATTTTACATGTGCATACCAGAACCCTCAAATGGATTTGCAGGCCATGGATCGATGTCACAGAATTGGTCAAACGAAGCCTGTTCATGTTTACAGATTGACAACAGCACAATCTGTAGAGGTGAGTTGGTGATGCAGGGTTTTAATGTTTGTCATATAATTAGGTGCACTTTATTTGGTATATTGGGAAAAATTTCTGAGAATATGTGAATTAACAGGGTCGGATTTTGAAAAGAGCTTTTAGCAAGTTGAAGCTTGAACACGTGGTGATTGGGAAAGGGCAGTTCCATCAAGATAAGGCGAAGCCTGGTTGTACTGATGTCCTCGAGGTTTGCATGCTGTCCTTTGTTGGTTATGAGAACTTAAATAGCGAATCTTGCTCTAGAAAGAGTCTCATAGTTGCAAAAATCAATTTTGCAAGTCTTAAATATTCAAATACAATTTTCATTCATTTTTGCATGGGACAATCTGGCCATGTATGTGAGTTGAAGATCATGCTCACTGTGATTTGAATGTGATGCCAATTTTTTATATAATTTTTTTAGGAAGACGATCTTATAGCTTTGCTCCGAGAAGAAGAATCTGCTGAAGACAAGATGATACAGACCATGATTACTGACGAAGATTTGGAGAGGGTGTTGGATCGCAGTGATCTGGTGGTTACTCCTGATGATCATGAGGAAGAGAAGGCCGACGGCATTGCCGGTGCTCTTCCCCTTAAAGGCCCTGGCTGGGAGGTGGTGTTACCAACTGCAGGGGGAGGCATGCTCGCCACCCTCAATAGTTAGATTAAACTGTTATTTGAACTTGGTAGGGGTAGTTTAGTTATTTACACGTCAGTGGATTTTGGATGTTGATGTTTTTTCTAGTATGGAAAGTTACCCCTGGTGATATGGGAGCTAAAATGGAGGGGCTCGATTATTTTGTATATGGTAGAAATCGAGCTGTATTTTTGTATTGGGAAGATCCAAGTTCCATGCCAAGACACTCGTCGAAGTTGAAGTTTCAATGTTTAATGAAAATGGCCCAGCCATATCAAGTTATTAGTTCTTCAACGAATGAATTGTTATTTTTTCTTTCTTTGTGATTTGCCAGTGAATAAATATGTTTTGCTCACGAAAGTATTTTTCAAGGGGATCCAATTGAATACTCTGAATTAGGGGTGGGCGCGGGCACGGGTTGAATTGGATCAATTTCACCTCAAAACTAAGATTGAATTAATTATAATATAACGGTTTGGTTTGGTTTAATTTCAACTAAAGTTACAAAGGAAATAGAATCAAATCAAACCAATTTAAGATGGTTTAATTCGGTCAGTTTGGGCTAAGCCCAATTCTCTTTCTTCTTGCATTTTTTCAACATTGTTATCCTAATTACAAGTAACAAATTCACAACTTGCTTCATACTTTAATAATTTTCTTGAGTAAAACCATCCTAAAGCTCAACATGCTATAAAACTTCAAATTTCAATAACTAATATTGCTCAATTCAAATAGTCATAATATAAATAAATAAATATACACATAAATGGTCCGATTTGGTTAAAGCCGCTTAAAACCAAATTATGTAAATTCTGGTTGGATTTTTAAACATTTTTTACTTTTTCTTAATCAAAACCAAACCGAACAAAATAAAATGTTTGAAATCAAGGGATGTAATATCCGAAAAAAAAAATTTTGAATGAAAAGGTTAAGGCAAAAGGAACTTTCACCGAAATAATATCCAAAAAGAAATTTGAATGAAAATGGTTTTAAAATAACAAAAAGTTCCGTTGCCGGGAATCGAACCCGGGTCTCCTGGGTGAAAGCCAGATATCCTAACCGCTGGACGACAACGGATGCTTGTAATGATGGTATAATTATATACATATAAACCTTGCTTCTGACCAACAGAAACCACAACTCAGAGAGAATTTGACTATTTTATCCAAACTCAAATTCTTGGTTTAAACCATCCATCCGTTAACCGGGAAAATTGAACGACAGGCCATGCACAGCCCCACCCAAACACCGCCATTGATAAAAGTCTAAACCCAAACCAGTAACCTCCACCTGGTATACTATTCTCAACTCTTTTATCTGTCTATTTATTTATTTTTAAAAAGAGTATAGCTTTTGCGCAGTTTGTATTGCTTTTGTTCGTGTCTGGAATCTCCATACTCGAACTAATCATTTTGATCTGAAACTGATCACTACTTGTCTTGTTATGTGCTCAAACGATTTGGGGATTAAAATTTGATAGCTTTTTAGTTGGGTATTTAGGTGAACCTCAAAAGCGTTTGCTTTAATAGCAATTTGTATAAATAACGTTTCAAGCTAACTTTAGCATTATCTTGATCTTGATGGCATACTCAAAAAGTGTTTGGAAAGTTGAGTTTTTTAAGAGATGAGTGAGTTGGTAAAAGGGATGTGGGCAGGAAGGTGTTCACTGCGAGTGTTTGTTTTATCAAATTCATTTGCACAAGAAAAACTTGGGTTTTATCTTATGGACTGAGTCTCTTATCTCCAGACATCCCAACAGTATAGGGATGCCCACCATGAGTATTTGTTGCTGTTTAAAAAGGATCAGAATTGACAATGGCTCTGACATGTGATCAATGCCTTTCAAGATAAGACCCGTGGGATCATGGAGGTTCCTGTTGCCTCTTTTAAATGCCACTACATTTTCTTTGTTTGGTCATGGAATCATGGAATAGGGAAAGGTTTCTGTTTTTCGGAAAAGCATAAATCTGCTTCCAATTTTCAGGGGTCATATAATTGAGGTCAAGTCCACAACTTTAACTAAGATGGACAACTGGACTGTTCCCACAACGTTATACCAACTGAGGTTAAAGCGAGGATAATGATGTTTGAGCAATAAAATCGTTAATAAAGTCATAGATTTATCAATCTATGTTTCCTCCCTCCTGTTGGACTCACTTTTTCCCTTAGATCTCCCCTCTTTCCTAACTTTTATATTTCATGAGTGCCTTTATTGGTTGTCTGGATTTTCCAAAATTATATCCCTTCAGTAGTGCCTATGGTGCATTAGATGTCTCAAATCATTGTTGATGCAACATATTTTATTACCTTTATGCAGGGCTGATGCTGCTGTGGCTATCATTTGGGCTTTAGTTTTTATTATTCTTGTTGCAGCATTTTGTATGACCCTGCATTTTGTGCACGTTTGGCTTTCTTTTGTCATTATATGACCCTGTACTTTAAGGAACAATCTTGAGGTGTTATACAGTTATATGCTATGGCATTTCTATATCCTTTACGCCTTAAAATATCTTGGCGGGCTGTGGCCAAGAAGAGGGAGAGAGAATGCTGTTAACACTATGTCTATGGGATCGTACATTTACAGTCATCTTACTTGGGCTTCATAGACTCATTGCTCAGTCTATTTTGATTTTAATTGATGTTACTGAAGCCAGAAGCGATGATCTTGCTTCATAGACTCATTGCTCAGTGTCTTTCCTAAATAGAAGACACTGTTTATTTCCATCCTTACAACTCATACACAGACTATGAGAATTTCCAAATTCTTTCACTAATGTAAACACCATAAATACAAACCAAGTTAAGAGGCTGCTTCGTGTGATTTTCCCCTGATTGGATTGTAATTCCGTTCTAAGTGAAAAATATTTATTTTAAATTGTTCTGTTGATAGGGTTGGTGAATGAGTTGTTCTTCAGTTTTAAACTAGTTTTGTCTTACAAAGTAAAAAATTTGGATTTATGAAAAAGGGTGGAACCACATTGACATGTGGTTTCTAGCAGCCGGATATATAGAAAGAGTTGGGAGTGGCAGGTACCTTCATGATACCCTGTTAATCTTGTTATTTCAATATTTTTGGGGAATGAGAAGTTGATGAGTACATATTTTTGCTCACGCAGCTCGGCATTTACTCTGGATAATAGCCATTCAGCATCCCTGAAGTAAGAAGATCAAGGTGCTTCCCTACTTGTGTGTAAGTAATATATATTTTAAATGAACTACTTGTACACGGAAGTAATAAATATTTTTTTAACCAATTTTATGGAAAAGGTAATCTTAGAAAGTAAATAGAAAACAACTTTAACTGTTGCCTGGATTCATATTATGATGTCAAATCCATGTGCAGGCTTTCATTGTAACTTTATTTCTCGGGAAGTAATATTCAATTACGATAGCAATTGCAGATTTAAAGGATATTACAGACTTGTCTTTCTTTACTTTTTGAAGGAAAATATCATAATTTTTTTCTATAGACTTGTCTTTTTAAATTTTATGTTCAGCATTATTGTCGTCTTCCCTTCATAAATCACATATCTGTTTTGCCAACACAGATTAGAGATAGATTGCAATGTTGTGTTGAGACCTGCACATAGTAGCCGGTAATGTCAGTCATATATCATCTCTGGCATTGCTGCCAGTTAATTCAACTCCTGAATTGATACTCTATTGATTTGTCATCTGTGTTCTCCTTTTTAATGTAATAAAAGGGGTCAGGGGAAATCGATCAAACACTGGAAATTTTAGTCACTCTAAAGTGAATGCATTTTTTGCTTGTCATATCATTTTGCATGCACCCGTGTTTCCATGGTCCCCCACATACAGGAATGTAGTGTTCTTTTTCCTGTAAACATGGCTCAAAGTCTAGTTATGATGAGCTAGGGAAGAAGAAAAGCAAGAAATATAATGAAAAACTGAGTCTGTCGGTGGCATACAAATGACATGATTGCTCTAAATTAATGAGTGCATGGTCCTCCAGCACGTCAAAGTTGCGCAGGGATGTCTTTTTTATCGGAAGAAGATGAATATGAACGGTGCTACAAATTATTGTTGTTCAATACTGTTTCTGTTTCTTTGTTGTTGTAGTTCGAGTTCATGTCATATACTGTTTACTGTTTCCTTGGATAGAAAGGATTATTCATGAAGCTCTATTCAATTATATCATTCTAATTATTGAAAGAGATTACACACACACACACACACACATATATATATCCTATTTATGTTAAGTATTTGGTGCCAATTGGATTCTGCAATTACAGTAATTATAGGAGTTGGTTAGCTGGTGCCAGTTGGAGTCTGCAATTATCCTAAACCCTAGAACCCAAAGGCAAGGATGATGATGAGGTTGCCCACTTGACAGAAGAAAAGAGAGAAGGTTTTATTATATGTGTAAATGGTGTATTCAAGGTGGAAAAAGGTGGAACTAGTGGCAAGAAACTTTATGGAGCATGTTATTCACGCGAAACACTGATTTGGCACAAGACAATACAAGAGACGTTCTTAGTATGCATTCCTATAAATTGATTGGGACAGTTTATTTGTATTCAGATATAGCAAAGCCTAGAAATTGCCACCACTAAAGATTACCATGAGCCATTTCTGATGATCCTTCTGTAACAGCAGTGTTCAAGGTTGGTTGAGGAAGGAAGTTTTTTTCTCAATAATGTCTTTGTTGATGAGATCGCAGGATTTTAGCTCCACTTAAGGGCAAATACATGTGTCATCTGCTATATGTGAAAGATGAAAGTGGATAGTAGGTTTTGCATGTTTCAGAGGAAACATTCTGGTGTTTTGGCATTTTCTCTATCTCCACATCAGGTTTTGGATTATGACAGACGATTTATCCAGGAACAAGATAACCCTATATTAAAAATGACTCCCCTCTTTTAGTCTAATGATCTAACCCTATTAGGTCTAGTTGTCATAAGATTATTAGCTGATAAGACAATGCAAATACTCAGTTACATTTCCACGAAAGGCCGAAATTCTCGGCCAATAATGATTCTCTTCCACTAAGCCTAATTTAGTGT